ACACTCTTACTAATATTGGTGTGTTACTGTTCCTTTCAGTTGCTGTTTCCAGTAAAATTTTTCTTACCTCAACCCGTGATCTTTACCTTTTGTGACTCCAGTTCTCTCTGTCCCACTGCAGGGGGAGGGGGAAGTGAGCAAGCTGTGCATGGTTTGGAGTGTTTCAGTGGGAACCCAATTGGGGACCATCATTCTTCAACCACAACATGAGCCTCCCAGCGGTGCCCTGCTAGACCTGCTGTTTACGAACAGAGAAGGGCTGGTGGCAGATGTGATGGTCAAAGGTCATCTTGGGCATACTGACCATGAAATGATAGTTTTTGATTCTTGGTAAAGTAAGGAAGGGAACTGACAAAACCTCTGCCTTGGACTTTGGCCTGTTCAGGACATAGGTTCAAAGAGTCCCTTGGAAAACAGCCCTTAATAATAAAGGGGTCCAGGAAGACTGGGTATGCTTTAAGGAGGCTGTCCCGATGTGCTGAAGGATGAGTTGTGGAAGAAGACAGGCCTGGCTGAATAGGGAGTTTTTGCTGGAACTGCAGACAACTCCAGAAGAGTACAAGAATGTTGTTGGGCCGTGTAGAGAGAAAATTAGAAAGGTGAAAGCTCAGCTGGAACTCAATCTGGGCACCACTGTGAAATATAATAAGTGTTTTTATAGGTACATTAACAACAAAAGGAGGGTCAAGGAAAATCTCCATCCTTTACTGAATGCAGGCTGGGAACATTGTCACCAAGGATGAGGAAAAGGCTGAGGTAACTAATGCCTTCTTTGCCTCGATCTAAAGAGAAAGACCAGTTACCCTCAGGGCCATCAGCCCCCTGAGCTGCTAGACAGGGGTGAGGAACTGAATAGACACCCTGCAATCCAGAAGGAAGTAGGGACCTGCTGTGGCACTTACGACACAAGTCTCTGGAACAGGACAGGATTCACCTGAGGGTGTTGAGGGAGTTGGCAGAAGAGCTCGTCAAGCCACTTTCTATCATTTATCATCAGTCCTGCCTACCCAGGGAGCTCCCAGACAACTGGAGGTGGGCCAGTGTGACGCCTTATCCATGAGGAGGGATCAGGATCTGGGGAATTACAGGCCTGTCAGCCTGACCTCGGTGCCTGGCAAGGTTATGGAACAGATCATCTTGAGTGTGATCACATGGCACGTGCAGGACAACCAGGGGATCAGACCCAGCCATCACAGATTAGGAAAGGCAGGTCCTGAGTGACCAACCGGATCTCCTTTTACACCAAGTGACCTGCCTGGTGGATGAGGGGGTGGATGGGGTCTGCCTGGACTTCAGCAAAGCCTTTGACACCGTCTCCCATGGCATTATCCTGGAAAAGCTGGCAGCCCATGGCTTGGACAAGGGTACTCTGGGTTAAAAACTGGCTGAGTGGTCAGGCCCAGTGAGTGGTGTCACATCCAGTCAGTGTCTGATCACTAGGGGGTTCCCCAGGGATCAGTGTTGAGCCCAATCCTGTTTAATATCCTTACTGATGGTCTGCATGAGGAGATGGTCTGGATAAAGTGCACCCTCAGTGAGTTTGCAAACATCAAGCTGGGTGGGAGTGTTGTTCTCCTGGAGGTCAGAAAGGCTCTGCAGAGGATCTGGACAGGCTGGATTCATAGGCTGAGGCCAGTGGTGTGAGGTTCAATAAGGCCAAGTGACAGGTACTGCCCTTGGGTCACCACAACCCTGTGCAGTGCTACAGGCTGGGGCAAGAGTGGCTGGAAAGCTGCTTGGTAGAAAAGGACCTTGGGGTGCTGGTCAACAGGTGGCTGAACATGAGCCAGCAGCCCAGTTGGCCGAGAAAGCCAGTGGCAACCTGACTTGTATCAGAAATAATGTGGCCAGCAGGACCAGAGCAGGGATTGTCCCTTCTCTGTCTTCAGCACTGGTGCGGCCTCCAGTTCTGTGTCCAGTTCTGTGCCCCTCCATTCAGGAAGGACACTGAGGTGCTGGAGAGTGTCCAGCAACGAGCAACAGGGGGCCTGGAGCACAAGCCCTATGAAGAGCAGTTGAGGGAGCTGGGGTTGTTTACACTGGAGAAAAGGAGGCTCAGGGGAGACCTTATCTGTCTCTATGACTACCTGAAAGGAGGTTGTAGGCAGGAGGGTGTTGGCCTCATCTCCCAGACAACTTGAGATAGGTCAAGAGGACACAGCCCCAGGCTGTGTTAGGTGACGTTTAAGTTGGACATTAGGAGGAATTTCTTCACAGGAATTCTTAAACATTAGAATGCGCTGCCCAGTGAGGTGCTGGAGCCACCTGGAGCTGTTTAAGAAAAAACTGGATGTGGCACTGACTGGTCTAGCTGACAAGCTAGTCATAGGGTTGGACTTGATGACCTCAGAGGTCTTTTCCAACCTAACTGAGATTTTGTTAGAGGAGGAGACAAGGTGTCTGGGAAGGGCAGATGATGGTTCCAGGAATAGGTCTTCACTTCCCCAGTGCTTTGTCTGCAGCAAAGTAATTTGCCTTTCCACTAAGCACAGGCAGCCTAGGAAAGTGGCATGAGGGGTTGGCTGGAGGGCATCTCCCAGCAGGGCTTTTGGAGGTAGTCCTCCATGTCACAGTTTCATTACCCAGTGTTGTCTTGGGTCCTTAAACTCCTCCCTGGGGCAGCTGGGAGGCGTGCACCAACTATTGAACAACCTGTGGGCATGCTGCAGCACCACCCCCTGCCAGAGGACAGGAGGTGGCAAGAGAGAGGGAGAATGTCAGCATCAGCACCCCCTCACACCTAGCAGCACGTATGTTTGCCTCACAGGGCTGTGCAGGTGGGGAAGCGTGTCACATCAGCCACAGCACGAGGAGGTGAAGGCTTGTGTGTTAGTCAGGGTACCACCACGAGTGCTGGGAGACAAAACTCCCCCCAACCCCACTGCATTTAACACCAGCATAACACCCAGCATGACTGCTTTGTTTCAGTGCCCCCCAAAACAGACAGGACAAACACCCTCAGCAGCAACCTGCTTTACCTTCATTTATTTTTGTCTTTAATTGTACATTTTTCCAACCACAGCACATTTCTACAGCATCTTTACACTACCCGCCACCACATGCTTCAGGCAGTTCCAGATTTCTCCAGTGAGCTGCTGGTATCCCTGTGTAAACGTCTCCTTCTCTTTCCTATAGATCCAATCAGTTTACCAGTCAAGTCAAGTGTACACCATCAGACCTTCAAGAAGGTGAAGGTGTCCAACAGGCTCAAGAAATGTAATCAAAGCCCGTGGTCAAAGCTTGGCATGATTGGAAGTTAAATCAATTTCAAAAGACATTCCTATTTGGTTTTACAACATACGATTACACTCAAGCATTTGCGACTGTATCCCCAGCATCAGTATTTGTCAAGGCTCAAAGAAAGTTACAGGTTTGCAAGTTCTAACTGCATTACAGTTTAACAGAAGTCACATTTCTAGTCAAAACCTCGACCATTAATTAATATCAGAACTCTGATACTGACCAAGCCAGTGAAAAAACTATTAAAATCCAATTAAAAGCTCTAAAGTATTAAATGTTTCTTAAAAAAAAAAAAACAGAACAACAACCAACAAAACCTCCTATTTGATTACTCAAGAACATTAACAAAGGAAGATCTGAAGCACAAGTCCGTGCATGACAAAACCCTTGCATAAAGCAAATTTACAACAAATAACAGTATACTCGGAAAGAATGGGGGTATCAGTCAAGTCAGAAAGGGCAAGCAGAAAAGCAGAAGGAACAAATCTAAGTCTATGAGGATACTGGATATACTGGACTGCTACAGGCCACACAAACTTAGGTCAACAGTCAAAACAGAAAGTTCTGGTTTTTACCCTCCTCGCTTCATCAGGAGGTCATTGGTCAATACAGTGAAATGCATTTCTAGGCATAATACTTGAAAAAATAATTTGTACAGGAACAAAATTACTCAAAGCCTGTAATTTTCTAAGCTAAAACTAAATAGCACTGGGTATGGAATTCTTTTGTAAGTTCATCTGCAAAATGAAGAGACCATGAACAGCTTGGAAACACTGCACGCTGACGGGCCCGAGCGCCTAGGGCAGCTTCTTTGCCATTCACCACTGACAAGGACCACGCTGGTTTGGCCTTTAGGTATGAAATATTACCTGCATAAATCAAAACCAAGGCTACTCTACTTTCAGGTTCTCCCAGTCTAAGTCTCCCGTGACTTATCACTTAATTCAGCATTAAAATGCTTTCTCAAGGCACGGGAGCAGTGTGCTGTTGCCACGTATTAAAGCAAGGGAGGTGCAGCAGATGCAGCCACGGCAAAGCAGTTGTTACTGAGCCAGAAGAGGTGGGAGCACTCTGTTCACCCACTGTCACTAACCAGAAAGATTTCTGACATCCCTGCAGGCCTACAGGTCCAGCTCAGTGCAAGTGTGACAGACCAGCTAGTTACTGGCTGAGACAAAAAAACAAGCCCAATACTGCATTCCTTGTCCTCTTCCCAGCATCTGGGGCTGGAGCTCCCAAAATCCAGGCAAGGCTTGCAGTATGGAAGTCAGAAGTTTGTGTCACTCCAACTCTTGCTTACTGTCTCTGTTTATGAGTGAGAACTGCTACCAGGAGCAGTTCATTATTTTCTGACCACAGTGAAAAAAGGATTGCCTTTTTCAGAAGTGGTCCATGAAGCTTATCTACTGTTTATAGATACTGTAATAAGACACTAGACAAAAGATTTTAAAAACATATTTCAATTGAATTACATCTTCTTTCAAACTGTGAAAATCTACCTGGCTTTGTAATAAACGAATTTATAAGCTACTCTGAAAATGTATGAACATGCCCGAAGTTAAGACACTCTTCCTATGCCATACTTGAGAACTTACCACAGGGGTCACTGAGAAGGTGCGTTCCCTTTCCTACTGACAAAACACTATGAATTGTTCTTCGTTTCTGCAATTCCTTTAATTTAAGCGATAGGCAGAGGCAAAAATCTCTACTGTTTAGGATTGGTTTTCTTCCTGTTGTTCTGAGTTTGGTTTTTCTTTTGCGGGGGGAGAAAGGGGGGTTGTGCCCAATTTTTATATAGGCAAGAGGGGAGAAACAAAGTCACTATCATGAAGCGAAGAGTCATACTAAATTAAAAGACAACAAAAAGAATTAATACTTTACTTCACAAATATCCCCTATAGATCATATCTTTTAAGGCTTATGATGCTTACACAGTTTGTTGTTTGTTTAGAGTACTCTACTGTTTTATATAGGAGCACATGAAAGCCAGTTTTACTCAAAAAATTCTTCCATCCCCATGTTAAGTTTTGCTATTAAAAAAAAAAATTAAAATTCGTTGAAGTCCTGCGGACAAGACTCTGTCCGTGAACAATCCCTCAGGCCTGCAGAGCACAGAACTGCTGAAACACAGCCAGAATATGGTGGTCCAGTTCAGCTGTAAACAGGAGGTTCTCCAGGGTCACCATGTACTGCTGGATTATCTGGTGGTGCTGGCAGATACAAAAACAAAAACAAGACACATACCTTTACTGTTTTCCTTTATATTTATATAAGAACAGGCAGAGAAGTCAAGACATGTAAGAATCGCAAGCCAAATATGAATTGTTTAGCACATCTAATTTCCACAACACAACATAATGCAGAGCCACTACCAACTGTGAGAACAAAGCCTGCACTGAAATCCTGTCTGAAGCACCACTGTGCTCCCTGCAACTCCCGCATCCTGAGCTGCGTGCAGGGCACAAGTGTTGTGTCACTGCAAGGACCTCGGGAGAATCATGGTATTTCCTTTCCTCTGAAGACATATCTACTATCAGGGAAGGGTTTACCCCAAGGGAGAATTATACCCCCCCCTCCCATTATTCAGTGTCTCTTGTGCTCGCACAGGTACAGCTTCCTGTATCCAATCACTTTCATCCAGCCACCTATGCTTGTTAACTGATTTAACGCAGAGCCAAGCATTCAGAAATTATTTTTAATAAATGTTTATGCACCTTATTAAAAGGTGTCCTGCAACAGTTTAATCCACTCACTTAAAAGATATCTATTTCAGCATTCTTGTCCATTCACAACTTTGCCCTTACTATAAACACGCAGCCAAGCGGGACTCGGCGAAACTCATAATCGTGTCTTGAAATATTTTTGCAGTGTGCTTTCAGTCAGGGAATTAGTCAAGGATCAGTCACTCCACCGGACTGTGGCAGAGGTTTGGCCAGAGCCAGAGCCATGACCGGGCCGCACAGCAGCCTTTAGAGGAGCCGTGCTGCTGCCACCTACTGCTGCTGCCGCCGCGAAGCGCTCTGCTCCCCGCCCACGGAGCTCCCCCACCCAGCACGGCCCTGCCCACAGCCCTCCGAACCCACAAACGAGGCTCACCTGCAGGAAGATCTGCTGCAACCTCTCTATACAGCTCTTGTACCAAGGTGTAAACACATCAATCCCACCGGTCTCGCAGCGCACCAAGTGCTCCGTTAACAACATAATGAAACGCTGCAGGAGGGGAAAAAATACCCAAACTTAGCCTCATCGACTGAAAGCAGAATCCTAACCTCAGGTAAGAGGATCTGGGGGCCAGACACTTTGAAGAGCAATGTGAGAATAATTATTGTGCTTGGCAAACACTGAATTTAGTAAGGAAATAAAATCCAGTTACCTTCTGGTTGTTCAGGGAACAATGCTAGCAGAACTAAGCACTGCTCAGAAGCAGTCTATGCAGAAGGATGATCTGCACTGACTCCAACCCACAGTAAACCCCCCAACCCCTTCCCATATTCTTATTCCAAGAGGAAGCCCAAGATGCAAGTGATGCTGAAAGCTTATAAATCCAGCAACTTCAAAACCTAAAGTAAGAAGAGACTTTGCCCATCATTACCTGGAATATGACAAGGAAGAGATTCTTCTGCTCGCTCTGGGCTGACTCCACCTTCTCCTGCAAGCGCTCTATCTGCTCTTCTAGTGGTCCATCTTCTCGATCAGTGCTTCGGTCATCATCATCATCGTCATCATCACTGTCTCGCTGTAAGTGATGACAACATAGGATTAACCAGTAATATTGACTACTTGTGGATGCTGTTAATGACCTCTACTTCCACATGTGAAAAGGTCTGCTGAGCAATTGAAGAGCAGCACAGAATTCAGGGTAGAAAGTTGGAAGGAAAAATGCCAATACGGGAAAGCCCTGGGAAAAAAAAAAAAAATTAAAAACCGAGATTTCAAAGAAAGTAGAGCAAGATGCAAGATTTATCAGAATTCAAGGGTGTTCCTCTAGGATGGTGACACGGCTGACAGCCCAGCTGGGCTGCCTTTACACCAATGCATGCAGCATGGGCAACAAACAGGAGGAAGCCGCTGTGCTGCTGGGAAGTTATGACCTACTTGCCATTACTGAAACTGAGGGGAGGAAGGAGAGGATTGCCCTCTGCATCAAGGGTTGGATTGAGCGTGAAGAGCTGTCTTTGAAGAACAGCCATGAGCAAGTGGAGAGCCTGTGGGTAAGAATGAGACACTGAGGCAACAAAGGGAACCTTTTGTTTGGTCTCCATGTCAGGCCCCTGAACAAGAAGAGCCTATTGAAACCTCCTTGCTCCACCCACAGGAGGCATCGCACTCACAGGCTCCTTTCCTGCTGGGGGACTTCAACAACTCCTCTGTATGCTGGAAAAGCAGCTGCAGGCAATCCTTGAGATTCCTGGAATGTATGGAGGATAACTTCCTGACCCAGGTAACAGAGGGGATGTGTTACTGGATCTGCTGGTCACCAACACAAGTGAGCTAACTGAGGACATGAAGACTGGAGGGAGCCTGGGCTGCAGCAACCATGTATCGGAGGAGTTCACAGTCCCAAGGGATGCGGGTAAGGCAAGGAGTAAAGTTAGGCCCCTGCATTTAAGAAGGCAGACTTCAGCTCTCCAAGGAGATAGTCAGTGGGATCCCCTGGGAGACTCCCTGCCCTTGCAGACAAGGGAGAAGAACAGAGTTGGCAGATCCCCATAGACAGCAAGAGCTAGAGATTCCCAGGAGTAAGAAATCAGTCAAGGAAGGCAGATCAGCATGGCTGAGTAGAGACCTGCTGGTCAAACTAAAAGGAAAGACGTAAATGCACAAACAGTGGAAACAAGGACAGGTAACTTGGGAAGAGTATAGAGACAAAGTGTGGTTGTATAGGGATGGGGTGAGGAAGGCCAAGGCAAAGCTGGAACTGAATCAAGGTTCCAGCTGAAGGTTCAAGGAATAACAAGGAATAACAGCAAAGGCTTCTACAGGTATGTCTACCAGAAAAGGGAAAGCCAAGGAGGTGTGTGTCCCCCCCAAACAATGCTAGTGAACTGGTAACTATGGATGAGAACACTGAGGTTCTCAACAACATTTTTGGAAGTCTTCAATGGCAACACCTCTTCCCACACTTCTCCTGGGGATGTACAGCAGGATGGGGACTGGAGAGGCAAAGTCCCTCCCACTGTATGGAAAGATCAGGCTCATGACCACCTGAAGAACTTGAACAGACACAAGTCTATGGGAGCTGATGAGATGTCCCAGAGAGCCCTTAGAGAGACCTTAGAGTCCTGGCTGATGTAGTTGCCAAGCCACTCTCCGTTAAATTTGACAAGACAGGGCAGTCAGGTGAAGCCCCAGGTGAGTGGAAAAGAGGAAACACTGTACCCATCTCTAAAAAGGGTAGAAAGGAGGACCGTGGGAACTACTGATCTGTCAGCTTCACCTCTGTGACTGGGAAGATCACGGAACAGATCCTCTTAGAAGCTGTGCTGAGGCACAGGGACGACAGGGAGGGGATTTGGGACAGCCAGGACAGCTTCACCAAGGGCAAGTCCTGCCTGACCAACCTAGTGGCCTTCTGTGATGGAGTGACTGCATCAGTTGACAAGGGAAGGGATACAGGTGTCTTTTATCTGGAATTCTGTAGAGACTGACATGGTCCCCCACAACATCCTTCTGTCTAAACTAGGGAGACATGGATTTGATGAGTGGATTGTTAGATGGATAAGAAACTGTTTGGGCGTTCACATCCAGAGGATAGCAGTCAACACCTCAGAGTCCCAGTGGAGATCAGTGACAAGTGCTGTCCCTCAGGGGTCTGTACTGGGAGTAGTGTTAATTAATATCTTCATTAATGACACAAACAAAGGGATCGAGTGCATTCCCACCAAATCTGCAGATGACACCAAGCTAAGGTGCAGCCGACACATCTGAAGGATGAGATGGCATCCAGAGGGACCTGGACAAGTTCAAGGAGTGGGCCTGGAACCTCAAGAGGTTTAATAAGACCAAGTTCAAGGTGCTGCACTTGGGTTGGGGCAACTCCCTTTATCAGCACTGGCTGGGGATGAACAGATGGAGAGCAGCCCTGCTGAGAAGGACCTGGGGGTGCTGGTGGATGAGAGGCTGGACATGACCCAGCCATGTGCACTCACAGCCCAGAAAGCCAATTGTGTCCTGGGCTGCATCCAAAGCAAAGTGATCAGCAGGGAAAGGGAGAGGATTCTGCCCCTCTGCTCTGCTCTGGTGAGACCCCACCTGGAACATGGTGGGGTCCAGCTCTGGGGTTCTCAGCACAGGAAGGATATTGACCTGGTCAGAGGAAGCCACCAAGTGGATTAAAGGGATGGAGCACCTCTTCCATGAGGAAAAGCTGAGACCATTGGGACTGTTCAGCCTGGAGAAGAGAAGGCTCCCAAGTGACCTAATTGCAGCCTTCCAGTACCTGAAAGGAGCCACATAAGAGCTGGAACAGGACTTTTTACAAGGGTGTGTAGTGACAGGACAGGGGGGAATGGCTTCAAACTGAAAGAGAGTAGGTGTACATTAGATAAAGGAAGAAATTCTTTCTTTGAGGGTGCTGAGGCACTGGAATAGTTTGCCCAGAGAAGCTGTGGATGCCCCATCCCTGGGAGTGTTCAAGGCCAGGCTGGACAGGGCTCTGAGCAACCTGTGGAAGCCCATGGCAGGGAGGTTGGAACTAGATGATCTTTAAGGTCCCTTCCAACCCAGGCCATTCTAAGAATCCAGGATTTGAGGGAAACACTAGTGAAAGGTAATACCCCTGCTAACTTTATCATTAGCAGGTTATGAACACCTTTTTAAAAAAATATGGCATAGATTTTTTTCAAATTGCATGTACTGCAGCAGGGCAGGCAATTCATTGACTGAAAAGTTTTGAAATCTCAGGGCTCCAAAAAATAGTGCAAGAACTCAAAACAATCCAGCTAGTTAGCACAAAAGGAGGGTAGAGACTGTTAGCAGTTTGGTTGAAGTGGTGATTCCCTATATTCATGATCAGAAATTGTACTCACAGACTAGAAAGGCTCAGCATGGACCTACGTGGATATACTACATGGATCTACTAAGAACATGGCATGCTCTCACTGCATCAAAACCAAAACACAACATCACCACCACCCACAAAATACACAAAAGTACCAGCCTTGGAAGCTCAGGGAATTAAGTCTCAAACAAGACAACAAGGCATATGGGGAGGAAAGGCAGAACCTGATGGATTATTGTCAATTCAAGCACAGATACTGCCTCGGTCTCTTATGATTGTTTCTACGAAAAAACATCCATAAATTAACAGCTCAAAAATTCAAATATTTGTAAAAGAAGCATGTGTAACTTGTGACGAATACAGGGCCGTGTGTCAACTCACCTACTGCATAGGAAATGAAGCTCACAATCAGAGGACAGGTATAGTTCCAAATTAGCGTGGAAAATGAAGATGACTTACCACAGCAAGTGAGAATTTAATTTTATTCTCTCTATGGGAACTTGCCTTTTCCCCATCTACAGAGGTTTTCTGAACTCAAAACACTGAAGGACCAATAGAACCCAAGAGAAAGGACATAAAAGCCTTGGACTCATTCCACAGTAAGGCAATCCACTTCGTGCTGGAGACATCAAAACTTGATGTCTTACTTCCTCTAAAAGGAATGGTCATGCAGCAGAGCAACAGTCTGCAGAACTACTCACTGTTGCATACAAATGTTTCTTCCTAGCATAATACTCACTTAAAGTACTAAGTAATATAGAGCTGCAGCAAGAGGCAAGTGCAGAAATTAAAACACTGGTATATTTAGAGTTGCTGAAGAAGCTCTTTGCCTCACAGTAAGATCAGCGACTACACTTAGGCCTTCACTAATGGGCATTTATTAACTGCTCATCAATGCAGGCTGAGGATGCAGGCAACTAGCGTGGCTGTTGCTGTGAGTGGAGGAAACAAGATGAAGGAGCTGGGATGAATTGACACTGGCAAACTGAGTTATTAGCAATCTCTCAACAGAAGCTTCTGGACAAATGACTGACTTGTGCAGGTTTCTTCAAAAAACATCAGCCAGCCCCTCTCACTTTTTGACATTATCCTCACTCAAAATTTTGGAGCTAGCTAAGGGTTTTATGCAGCTAATCACACTTGAAGACCTCAAAGAAACACAGAAATTCTCTCTTGATTTCTGCACATCAGCATATTTATAAACTAACTAAATTCTGTCATGACTAAGTTCTGCATTCAGCCATGCTTCCTTGGGCCCCATCTCTTCCAGTTGCCACAGAAGACACTCACTCACCCCACTTTATTGTCCTTCTTGGGACAACAGAACACAACAGCAGCTGCTTCCTCATCAGTTTGCTCTCTATAGTAATGCAAGATCATGCAACTGTATTCAGAAAAATAAGCTGGAAAAAGGAAGTGACATGCCAGTGTCAGAATCCAGCAGCATCCATCAGAAGAACAGTAACAGCCAATTCTCAGTTGCAAATAGCTGTTTCTGTGCACTTCTGCATGAAAGCCACAAGAGCACTCTTTAAACAGAACTTACCACAAATAATTTGTAACTGTTCTTATTGTTATCCAATAAGGTAATTGGAATGCAGATTAGAAGGCAAGTGGAAGACATGCTCATATTGGAAAAGAAACTTGTGAGAGAGAACTTGAACAGAGCAAATACATATGAACTCCCTTAAAAGATTTTACTAAATTCTTATGTTTACAGCTACTGTTAGAAAGGTGGACTGAGAATATGCACCTAGTTTTTGATATCTCAGTGCTACAGATGACCACATGCTTCCTGATGAACCACATTCATTCAGTCCTACCCAAAACCAACTGTGTGTCTGTCTGTCTGCATGCAGGTTTGCATAACTGCGTTTAAGATTATTAAAATTTACAAACAAGTTACTCACTCTTTTGTGCTGCCTGGCCAATCTTGCCTTAGTCTCCTCCAGTTCTTTGTGAATCTTCAGGACATGCTTATTCATCTTACGAATCGTGGAGTGTAAGATTTCCCAGATATAAAACCTAGGAAAGACACAAGGCTCAAAACACTATACTACACACTGCCCCAAGACAGAAAACTAAACACAGTTTCATACAGAAAACTGTAACTGGGGGAACTTAAAAAACTTAGTTTCATTTCATACACACACTGCAAGACCATCAACACCTGATGACTCCTTAGATGAAACAGTTCTCCCATTCTCAATATGCGGTGTACAAGTTACACACCTCAGCCAAAGACCAGGAGCACACCAAGGTAGCAGCTATATAACACACAGCAACAGGTTTTGTCTAGAAGTTCCAGTGCTATTCTACTTAGGCAGGCTTAGATACCATTTGCAAAATGACATGCTAGCAACAACCTTGTGCTGTCATGTAAACATTCATACCCAAACTTAGAAAGAGAGCCGCTAAAGTATGTATTTTGTAGAAAGAGCAAAAGCTGAATTGTACCTTCTTCCACTACTGAGTTTCCATAGATTAAACAATGTACTGGCAACCTCAAATAGCAAGTCAGAGACAAATAACAAATTCTTGTTACCTAGTAAAATCATGTGCAAGCTCTGAAGAAAAGATCCAGTTTGCTACTGCAGCACAGTCGACAATTTGTGTCCGAATCATCTTGTCCACAAGCACAGCAATCATCTATATTTTGTGAAAGACAATACACACACAATCTGTGTAAAATCTTCCAGCCTCAGACAAAACCAGAGATGCTTTGATGCAACTCTACATCAGTGGTATCAGTGGGTAATTTCAAATACTTTAGGAAGCTGGGTAGTCTAGCCTAAAACATTTCAAAGGAGGGGATCCATACAAATTACATAAAGCACTGTTCTCTTGTTAACAACCTTACCTACTTCTGAAAGCGAGCATCACTCTTTGTTAACACACATATTTCCATACAAAAGCAAAACACAAAAGCATCAGAGTTGGAACTGAGGACTTAAGAGACACAAGTCTTAGTATTTGGCATCCAAGTACTCAAACCAGAGCACATACACCTATCAGGTCACCATAATGAAGGAGCTACTGTTAGCCCACCAGCCTTGAACTGCGACAGCCTTCAAATGTGACACTAAAGCTTTTCTCTCTGGGGCCTGATAACTTCAGGGCGGAGCCAGTGCCCTGTAGTCAATGGAAGGGCTCACTTGCTGCGGGCACTGCCACGATTCTGGGGGAGCTGCAAGCAATGCAGCAGGCAACTGCAGAGGAGAGTAACTGACTACACAAGTTGCAAGCTGTTCAGAAAAAAAGGCTTATCTTAATTACTCATGTGACTGAATGCCACAGTATCTAAGAACTGCAGCCTGCACTGTATTTATCCTTACAACCACCCGTTGTCAAATAAGGAAGTGTAACAAAGCTCCTTTTAAGGAAGGAAAATTAAAATAACTGAATGAATCATACAGAGGACTCAGCACTCAACTTTCAAGTCTCAGGATAGCATCCTATGCTCTATTTGTCTTTCTGCATTGCAATGAAGAATTTCTGATTACTTAGCCTGATCTTCCAAGAAACACACATCTAGGATTTTGAGAAAATACTTAATATCAAAGTTTCTCTTTATGAAGTTACCACCACAACCTTGGTTGTACTTCCAGGGACTACTGACTCCTGTTGTTAAACCACTACCTGCAGCACAGATCACTCTTCAGTGCTACATGCCTTGTGAGTACTGCTGGTAGCCTGATCAAAGGACGTTCCCATAGACACGGGAATAGGGTGAGCAGCCTAAAAACAGACTCTGCCTGCTGTCAAGGCGCTGTTCCTTCTGTGTGACAACCTCCTTCCTGAGGTTGTGGACTCAGGAATGAAAAAAAAAGGGAAGTGCTAGATCAGAAACAAAACACTGAACTGCGAGAGAAGAAAATTTAACTTTAACTTCTGTGGTCAAGTAGAACAGCAGACCTGCCTTACTTTTATACTTGACATTTTTTAAAGTGATCTTGATTTATTCATAAAAGTCTAACATGACTATTTAGTCTGGGTTTGAAACCTCCATCTCAGTTTGGCCACGCTGCAATACAAAGGAATGAAGAGGAAGCAGATACAGATATTAGATTGCAGTAATGCAATTTCTTCTGATCCAGTTAAATGGCAGTAAAAAGTAGGTCAGACTGTAAATGTCACACATTCAAGGTCACTAAAATGGGTAGTAACTTCAATATATGAAAAAAAATTCCTCCCTTTTCGATATTTTTAAGAGAGGTAACAGCCTGCACAGGTATCTCCACCAGGGAATGGACCACACGTCCAGTAGCAGATGCAAGGATTATCCCTGGTTCTCAGTGGCATGACTTCTTAAAGCCTGGTCTTTGCAGCTGCGAGGTACAGTCCACTTTCCAGCACTGAAGTGGAACACAAACACACCAGTAAAAAAGACATGAAATAACTAATGCAGGCAAATTCAGCCTGAGTTCCTTATTTATTTCTATTTATAAAAAAATGACAGCTGAGGGAGAAAGCAACTGCTGTGAAGAAACTGAACAGTTTATACAACTGAGGCATTTTTTTGCAGGTCTTTTAGGGTGTTATTTCCTCTGGCTCAAGAATGAACATAGTCACAGCACTGTCAGACTGATCTGTTCTGAAACAGCCACTACTGCAGCTCTACTCACCCTGCCCACACACAACAGTGACTCCAGCATGAGCTTTGTGTAATAACTGGATGGCTTTCACTAGCACTTGATGAAAAAAAAAAAAAAACAATAACACAGCTCTAAAAAACTCTAGGTTTCCACATCTCTAGGAATGTGGCCTGCTTTTGATACGAGATCTACATCTTATTTCAATTTACATATCTATGCTGTTTTCCAACTCTGAACAAAAACATGATTTTTGGCAAAAGTTATTCTCTTGTACAACAAACAAACAGCGTAGTATGAATCTGAGTCATAATGAAGCCTTTGCCCTCTCACAGTGAACCACTGAGGAAGAAGCAGCATCATTGGTGGTATGTACATTATGTTCAGCCTTCATTTCAGACAGTAGTGACAACATTAAATACAACCTCCTGAACTTTCCTTAAAACAACAACAGACAAGTTACAGGATATAAAGCAAATTGTATTTTTTTTTATTTACATACCACCTCTGTGAGTTGAAACACACAAAGATACTTGACTTTCCAGCCTCTTACCTGTGGATGATTCTTCCAAACCTCATACACAACCCTTAGCACATGGAGTTTCCCCTCATCACTTTCAGCAAGGGTTTTGAAGACTTCATGAAACCTTTTAAGAGATACAAGTAGTCAGCTGAGGGATCAGGTCAGAAGAGCAGCAGATATAAGGCAAGTGGTTTAGATTGGCCAAAATAAAATTTTGTGACTGTCTGCTGCACTTCTTGGACAACTGTTCCCTGGAAAACATAACCATCCTTAGCTAAAATAGACTACAAAGACACAGCACCCTCTAAAAGTAACTTACATCTTAGTGGTGAACCTACTTCCTGAAGCGGGGCTACGTTTCTCATACTCTTAAAAGCAGGAGGCACTTTCATGCTTCATGTGCTTATCTATACACAGCTGGAGCAAAATTTGCTGCCTTTTGAGACCTTCCTCTTGACTTGTGTTTCCATAACTTTAGACACTTATCCTGAGTGCCTCTTTTTGAAGGAAATGCTGCTAAAAGCCACTATTTTAGCAGTTACGCCGACTGCTACGGAGCACTCACAGCCCAGCTTATTGTAATGAAACGATAAAGGGTAAGAGGCTCTTTTTGATCTCATGGCTGCTGCTGATGGTGTGCAGCAGTGAAAATACCATGGGTCTGAGCACTTGCATCACCCTGCCTCTTGCACTCCTGACTGCAGGTTACTACCTGCAGCTTCCTATCAACAGCTGCTTCTGCAGAGCTCCCGGGTGCATGCTTTTGGAACAGCTTTATGTATCTTTAGGGACAGACACAAAAATAACTCATTAAGATGCATGAGACTACCTTTCGTGTAACAAAAGGCTTGAAAGCGACTCCGAAACAGAGAGGATTAAAAATGTTATTTAATCCAATTTTGCTAAAAATGGTGCAGTAAATTCTTTATGAGCTCCACCATATCTTTAAGGGATGAACTCTAAAGTATTTTAGGATGGATTTTATTTTGCTTTGGTAGATAGACAGAAGGAGTTTACGGCAGATTGTTTTGAAGTTTCATGTTTTCTTTTTCTTTGCTTTTATACATAAGTAACTGTTCTAGGATCATATTCATAGTCCAAGATATTGGTGGTGGCAGCCATCCAGTCATTCAAATGTAAGGAGAATCCCTTGTTCCCGACCATAATCAGCAAATCAATAATTGTAAAGTGAAGTAATTTTCCAAACCTGTCTCTTTTGTTTGACTTACATCACACGGCTGTAATGTATACATTTCTGCTAATTCCATTCACATATATATAATCTAGGATTTACACCACCATTATTACTTCAGTAAGCAGTGTCATTAGTTCTAATCATATCACATTGTGGAGCACCTAAAACACTGCTAAAGCTTGCAGCCCATTTCCTTTATCATGCATTTCACTATCAGAATTGACACTTCCGTAAGACCCAAAACTGACAGTTCCGTAAGCCCCAAAGTAATGCACATAACACTTACTTTGCCAGGGCACTGAAGGAGTGGCTGAAAGACTTGGCAGCTAGGTGGAGCAGAGTCTGAACAAAGACTTCTATTTTCAGAGGGTTGAAAGAAAATCCTTCACCTGCAAGTTATTTAAAATTGAAATTAATAAGTACTCCAAGTAGAGCATGTAAGCTACTAATAAAACTGTACAGGTAACTTATGGTTTTAGCTCATTTCACAAAAGGGTTCCAACAACAGGGTTTTGGAGGGCTGATCAGGTAGCTAGTAAAGAGTCTTCCAAAATGTGTAGGTTTTCAGGCTCCCATTTCACCACGTAGAAAATGTGCAGGAAGAATTCCAGGTCAGTGAAGAAGCCATCAGAGGCACAGCCACCCTACCAACATGTAGCAGCACTGATGGACTGCAGCAGAGAAAGTCAGCACAGGAAACTGCAGTTGTGCATCAAGATGAAGGCCTGGAAGGCCATAAAAAAGGGAGTGTGGATGAGGAGACAGGAAAGTAAGGATTACTAACCAAGAGAGGCTGACCATTTGGGATATGGAAAAGCCCAGCAAGCGTGTATAGCAAATATGGGTACTAGGATGAATGGTGTCAAGTCCTGTCCTGTACCTGCAGCTACCTGCAGCTGAGGACAGGCAGGAGGGAGAGCACTAATTAATGGGTAATGCCCAAAGCAAATCAGGAAACATGACAGTGGATCCCAGGGCAAAAAACCCCCACCAGATGGTTGCTGCTCTCTGCCTGCATGACAGAACACTTGCAAATATTAAAGAAGCAATGAAGTAGTCCCCATTGTTTAGATCACTTCTAATTCTCTCACACTCCTCATTCCATAAAATATGCAGGCTTTAGGAATCAGTGCTGCCTTTGGCTGCAAAGCTAAGGAGAACGTGAGCGGAGTCCCACTGTGAGTTTTCATCTGTGGAAGATGACAGCGGCAGGCTGGCTGTCTTATCTGTTGTGGGACTGCACTGAGGGGAGCGATGCTCTGAGGGCAGAAGTACTGAATTTCAGGGGTGAGGATAACAGCATGAACTGCCCTCTGCTGCTAGGAGGCAAAGGGAATGTTAAACTCTTTAATTCTGTCAGTACTCACAAGAAAACACACTCCAAGCAGCAGGTTACTTCTGTTAGCTTAGAAAAAACAGGCCTGACTTAGCATGTAAGATGTTTACAAAAAAACCTAACAATGGTGTATTATTTCTATTCACTGAAACCAACTACTAGAAGGAAAAGCACACAGTTCTATTAACCACCATACTCACAGCTCCAAATCATGGCAGATCAATCCACACACAGGATAAATTACAGCCTGCCAGAGCCTAACAGAATATATCTTACCATCATCATCATCCTGGTTTGGATTAGGCACATCTTTTAAAATGCTGAAGATTTCATCATTGCTGGCCTTGTTTTTAATGGCAATTGTCAAACAGAGTGCCACAGTATATCCAGGAAGAGACCCTGAACAAAAACAAAGAGGACAAAAATATGTCAAGGCAACATCAGTTTGCCTCTCAGAGAAACCAGTACACTTCCCAGCTACACTTAAAAATGTCTCCAATATCGTTGTCCACATCAATATTCCACCAAATAGCTCAACAAGTTTTCTGGTCTTCACTTTAAATCCAAAACTTTGAGTAGAACCTTCAGAGTTGAGGTCAGGTAACCACTTTCCTGACTAAAGCTCTACTTCAGTTTCCACCACTTTTTGCAGAAATACAATACTTCCTCGTTTTCCTCCACAGTATCTGTGATGATGACACTTTCATGCTTAGGTTTGTATTTACACCCAGTAATAAAAAAGAAATAATAAGGCATCTCTCAATATTCATGTTGTCTGCTCCCTCTGTGTGCTTCTTTACATCAAATTTACTGGTAAACTGTTCTATTGTTTCATGAAGTTCAAAAAATAAACTCTCACTATCACTTCCATATGCTGCCTTTGGCATAATATTGTGGCCAAAGAGGGAAAATGGACGAATTATCCAATTTTAGACTTCTGGCAAATAACACTGCACAACACCACAACCACCTCAGCAACAGTAATTTCCCGTATCTGGATTTTCTTTTCTTCATAAGCAGCAGAGAGGATTTTATTACAGTGATCCAGGCTTAATATATATTAATTGCCCATGTGAAGCACATTCACCCATATGAAAATCATGCATATTTATTTCAGCTGTGTTCCTCTTAATGAAAACAACTGACATTAGGGCCAATCTAGTGTGCTCCCTTGCTCTGAAACACTTCAACTTGACCAGTAAATACTTGACAATAGCATATTTACTTGACCATATTTAATACTTACTATTACTTTCATCTCCATATTTGTAAATGCACACTGGATTAGCAGGACTGAGGACAGAAAAACTTGCAGGAACAATGTCTATTATTCGCTGATGGTAGGAGAGTCTGCAAATAACAAGTTTCATAGCAGTAAGATTAAAATGATAATAATACCATGGCTAATTTTACTGTGACTGCTGTATAATCATTTTCCCGTACTTAACTTCCATAGAACAAGAATCAGGATGTTTATACAACAGAATGGTAGTTTCTCCTGGATAGTACAAGCTAAGTAAATCAAACTTCCTAGTAGATGCCTTCCATTTGAACTCCATGGTGCTCGAGTTTCATGCTCATACAATTAATCTGCCTTGTGAAAAGGCTGCCTGGTAAGAAGTTTTATGCAAAAGCTTAGGATGCACTGCAGAAAACTAGTGGGACTCAAAGCAGAAAAAATATTAAACTGGATGTCTTCATTTTACTTTCCAGGTTCATTTCAGTCCCACGAAGGCTTAATTTGCTACCAGAGTTCTTAGTGAAATGGAAGAGCACAACAGAAAAACTGCATTCAGTTTGCAGCACACTGCCTTCACGTTTCCTATACAGAATTCACCCAAAACCAGACTAATGTTTTCATGTAGCATGCTGAATAACATACACTTTCAGAACATTTTGCTCTTTCTCTCTCTTATATCCTCCTATCTCAACAATTTTACACCCAGACACTGATTATGTAGTATAGTTGTTGGGTTTGGAGATTTTGTTTGTTTGCATGGTTCTTTCTTTGTTTAAGGCAAATGAACATCAGAGGCACCTAGAAGAACCGAGACTAGATTCTCAGGCTTTTGCATATTTAATGGTCAGTTCCCTCTCTTTCTGTGAATGCTGAATACTTTCCAGGAATATAGCCTAAACTCTTTACTTCTTTCCATGCCTGTGGTGAAGAATGTCTTTTTTTAACTACAGGTGTACACAGACAGCTCACTACCATCTATCTGCACTACTTGTTTCTCCCTCTCTCTAGTGTCCTACAGCAGGTAAACCAGACTAAAAATCACACAAACAACAGAGTCATCTCTTAACTGAAAATGAATTGCAAGACCATAGTCAAGTTAAAAGCACTCTTACAGTATCCAGATGAAACTTTGCCTTGAATGCAACTATCAAAAGATCTTACCTCATGCACTTTTCCAAAACCTCTCTCACAAATTTGGGTTTGGGTTTTTCAAGGTCCTGAGTAAGACAATCTGACCTATGAAAGGACAAAATGGGAAGGCTTTTAGTAAAAGAATTTATGCTACAGTCCCTTTTTGGCTTGGTCTAATAGGTACAAAACAACAACAGCCTAAAGACAATTGGAGCATTTGACATTTAAGCAATTTTAAGCCACTGAGATAAGTTAAGTACTACTTCCTTATTGGCAATTAGCATTCTTGGAATCTCATCTCTCTATGATACATTTTCAAGTATCTTCCCTTCCCCTAGAAGATTAAAAACAATTTGTGGCTATGGTTAGCTGGCTTTCCCTTTCCTTAGGAAAACAACCTTGTGTGATTTCATGGTCTCTTCCTCCCTCACTGGAACTTTTAAACTTCTGGCTAATTTCAAACGAATTCAGATAAAGAAAAGCCCCAAATACAGTCATGTGCAAAATCTGTGAAAGATAGATCTTTGAATACTGCTGCATGGTCAGTCAACACGGACGTAATCAAACACTTAACTCCACATAAGGACAACATGAGAAACATAAGAAAAGCCACAAAACTCTATCAGAAGAAGGGCTGCACCCCTCTCCGCACGGATTCTTGGGCAGATCACCTACAGAAAGCATGCACAGTAGCAGGCTGTGGAAGCTACTCTAGGGAGGACTTAATCTCAAGCTCATCTCCCTTGCTAAATGGGTGCCTGGAATAGAAAGCTCAGGGAACCTGTGGATAGACGTTGATGGTGTCCAGGGAGCTCCTGCTAGAGATGCAAGTTCAAAACATGGCATGGCAAGAATGGATGGCAGGGTAAGCTCTGATGGAACTTCAGGCACTAGGATTTGGCAGGTGGGAAAAAGACCACAAGGTCTCAAGGACAAATAATGAAAGGTTTCAGGTAGAACACAGAGAAAAATTGCAGAATGAATACAGGATACAGTCAGCACAAACCATTAAAAAGAAAATCAGAGAGTCATTTTGAAAAATTTGCTAACAACTTTAATGTCCAGGACACATTAAAGAAATCATATTTCTGCTTCCCTCTTTAAGGAATGCTTATACTGCCTTGAGATTTATCACATGTTCACTAGGGACTAAAGAGATTATCAAGATAATCTACCACTGAGGGCTGGTGAACAGATTAAGAACAATCTCTGAAGAGCTAGAGGAAAACAATTAACAGGACCACTATGCCCTTATTCTTCCCAGATAAGTTTGAAATTTCAAGGGTTTTGCAATATCAGATTTTGAATCAAAAGGAGAAAAACTCACCAGTCATTTTGTTCCCACAAAGCCTTAATTTGCAACCAGAGTTTTTAGTGAAATGGAAGAGCACCACAGAAAAATTGCATTCATTTTGCAGCACAATACTTTCATAGTTCCTATACAGAATTCACCCAATGGAAGATGCCAAATAACGTACACTTCCAGAACATTTTCCTCTCTCTCTCTCTCTCCTATATCTCCCTTCTCAGCTTTTCACATACTAATGGTCAGCTCCCTCCATTTCTGTGAATGCTGAATATTTTCCAGGGATATAGCCCACACTCTATTTCTTTCCATGCCCATGGTGGAGCCTGTCTTTTTGTAACTGCAGGTGTGCACGGAGAGCTCACTACCATCTGCAATATCAGGTCTGAATCAAAAGCAGAGGAACTTACCAATCTTCCCAGCTCCAACGGAACTGAAAGTTGCTCAAGTGGTGAGAAAACCAGTTAATAAATCTTTATTAAAAGAAAAAGAAAGGTCCATTAAATGTCATAGAAGTGCAGGAAAACTTTCAGTTAAGCTTTTCTTATAATTGCATTCTAAGTTTTCAAAGGTAATCCTATACTTTTTTAAGCAGTTACAGCATTAAACAGGCACTGACAGATACAAAAGACTGAGTTTGGAAAGTCAGAAAGAAGCTTCTACGGGAAAATAGCTTGTCACGTTCTGTCATTTCATATAAAGAGATGACATAATAAACTAACAATTAAAATGTAAACTGACTGTGAATATGCAACTTTCACATTTTTGATTAGTCAATAACTGCCTTCCTACACAGTGCAGACATCACTGAAAGGGCAAAATCACCACCATTCTCCTCCTTTGGGTGGCACATACCCCGTTAACTCCACTTCCAAGTGTCCCCCCAGACCACTAGGGAGCAGGCACAGTACCAGGTAACAGAGTGCTGTTATACCTGGTAAGTAACAGTACATACAACCATGGACAGCTCTGGACACACAGAAAAGCTGCCACTCATCTGCACTGTCCTGTGCTGACAGACAAGACCTCCAGGGGAGTGTCCCTGCCAAAGGGAGGCAAGTTGCCAATCCTCCACCTTTTCTTTAGACTGTTCTAAGCTAGAGGCCACAGAACATTTTGAATAGCATCAAGCGGTTCTAACAAGGATTTCTGACTACAGCCTCTTCACTTTTTCCTCTGCACTGGACATCGAGGAATGTTTTCCGTTATCTCCAAAACACACTTACCTGTCCACACACGTTGTATTCATGGTATCCAAGCGCATGTAGAGCATTTCTGTGGCTTGTGCAAGCTTAAAGTTTCTTATTAAGGTTTACAGAAAAGCACTGGGTAAGTTAGATGTTATTCCTTAAAGGTTTTTAATAGAATGTCATCGACCTTTTGCACTGAAAGCTCCCCGAGTCTACTCCAGAGTGAGTTAAATCCACAGTGGAAAAAAAGAAGAATAGTGTGAGTTCCATCCTTTAATCCCAGTCTATTTTTCTTCCATCATTGCAACAAGACTGTTGGTTTCCTCCACAGAAAGACAGAATTCACATCATGCAATAAGCAAAACTACACTGACATGAACAGACAGCAACCTCCTTATGGAGTACTTCTGTAATCTCACCCCCAGTCTGGCTTCACAGGCTGCTGCTTACCCACGTTCAATCTTTAATCATCACTGAAGACTTGAAAAAGAGTGACTCTACTCAACAAGGCCTTTATCCCTCTTACAGTGTCCCTAATAACATAAAAAATTTCATGCACAGACATACTCCCAATGCTAGGACGAGACTTGGCTACTCATTGAGATTATGTGATTTTCAGACAGTGGGTGGTATCATGAAGTAGAATGAAAGTTTTGGCACGAAATTACCAGTGGATAGACATCTTTTGACTGTCCTCAGTCAAAAGCTCACTCTCTAGCTTTATCTAAACCAATGACCTAGGAGGATATAGCGTGATGGTCAGAGTTAGCTGGAAGCCATGCCTCACCATTTCTTCTCAGCATTTAGCCACCCTGTCTGTCTGGAGCTCAACAGACGATTATACTGACCTCCCGAATGCTCCAGTGTGAGCACCGAGTGGGAACTCAGGCAGGTTCTTTTAAATCACCTGCTAAAAAAAAAAGAGCAGGAGCACTCACACAGTTGTTGGAACAATATCAAGTCTGTCACTTCTTTTCCTTCTCAGGCTTTAATGTGTCTACTGACCATGCGACACGCTGTCCAAACCTGAGCAGCCTGCAGCGACAAAGAGAACTATTGTATTTTACCCCTTTACCAAGACAGCATTTCTTGGGAAGGTTAGAGGAAGTATGAGAACACTGCCCAGAATGCTGAAGAGTCTTGCCTACTTGGCAAATCTAGATGTCTGCAAAGTGGGCTGTGTTATTCTATCATGCACATGTTGCAGGCAAAGTTTCATGTAGCTGCTGCAAAATACTACTACTGCCAGTATTTACTGCTATCCCATCAGCTACAGAACAAACAAAATAAAGGCTGCATTTCATAAATGCTCTTCAGCAGCACAGAAAGGATACAACTTGTGGTAAAGAGCCAGGCTGAAGTTTGCACAATTCAATCAGGAGCGTTGTGTACATGACTTCAATGTGCGGTGGGGATGGAAGCTGAAACAATTCTGCAAATATCACCTGTAGGAGAGGAAATCACAGAATGAGAGCACAAACACGGCCTGCACGACTCTCAGCTTCCCAATAGTGCAGGCCACCTATCTTAAACAATTATCTATCCCAAAAGACCCATATTGTTCTGTCAAATGCTTGTTCCAGGAAAAAGAGAGAGAACCATATAAAAGGTAGTGGTAACCCTACACTGTACTAATAAGGCCCACTCTAACTGCCCTTACCATTTCATACTAATATAACACCAGCCTTATGCATCTATTAGGCCTAACAGATGTAGCACATAAAACTGTAGAAATGGGAATAGTTATAATATGACCTATTACAGTGATACCACATGATCTGAGAAACACAGAAATAATTTGATCCTGTTCAATAGTAAATATAAATATTAAATATATGAAAGGAAGCCCAAGCATTTAGTATGAAAGACTATTTGCATTGAAATGACATCTCTGTCTTTTACATCATGTCCTCTTTTCTCCTGTGCAAAACCTCACATAAATAAAGTCATAATTTTAAACTGCAAATTCCAACGAGCATTTCATACAACAAAAATATATGCCCAATACTTCTTGGCAGAAGGTCCTTCCAAGAAAACTGAAAATAATCCTGCAGTCAGCATTTGTGTGCTTTTATTTTAAAGTTTGCCTCTAACAACCCTTGAGGGCCACAATAAAACCATCTCTGTACAACATCCACCTCTGCATTTCTGTTTCCTTTGCATTCCATTCTCAACTAAATCTAAGTAACATCAAAGGAATCGGGAATCTTTGATTCATTATGGTTGATCAGTTTCCTCTTTAAACTTCTGAATAAAGCTTAAAGAAGTAAGCTTCAGAAAAATCTTGTTTAAGAAATCAACCTCCTTTTATAGACTCCAAAAACAGCACATGAAAACACTGACTAGAACTTGTTTATTCTAAGGAAGGACTTGAAAGCAGAGACTTTAAGATGCTGGGGAACCCTTCTGTGTCAGAATAATTTGGAATACTGTTAAGACAGATATGACAAAAACGTAGGGACAACTTTGTTAGGTTAGAAAATGGCTCCACTTCTCAAGATAGGAAATAACAACTGGATGATGAGTTGCTTTCTGTTTGGGATACTGCATAAAACTGTGTTTCTGATACTCATCACATGTTCGTTACCAAGTACTCAGTTCAAGTATTTCAAACTGTCATAACATATTTTGTGAAGAGTTCAAGACCACAGAAATGATCAGGACACTGATGCCCTGAATGTCTCAACTGTGTACCAAAAACTGTGGGGGCACAACAATACACAGCAGGCCAACAAGCCAATGAGGCTGCGCAGACATCCCCTGTGAACAGCTACCAGAAGTACCCATAGGTGTGTCTGGAAGAAGCTACTGAGAGAAAGGTGTCACATTTCAGTGTTTCACACAGGTTCCAGGCAGCAGGGAACATCCTGTGCCCAAGGGGGGCCCCAAAAGTGTCTTGGGACACTTGGGAAGGTACTGACAACTACTTCCAGGTTCCATTTACTTCTGCCTGTTACTGAAGTTCTGAACTTCAAATAACATTTTCCTTTATTTGTTAGACCACATTATTTCTACAGTTCTGTGACCTACTGAAAAAGTCAGTGAAATTTCACAGATTAAACTATTGTTGAAAACAACATATAACCAACATGACTGCTGGTGAGAGAGATCATCAGACAGACCTTATAAGGAAGCAGTAGTAAGCAGAAAGAACAGAAGCACAGAAAAAAAAACTATGCTAAGCCTTACAAACTCTGAATCTTTATTAAAAGTGAGCAGTCAGACAAATAACAAAGTGAGTATCGTAAAGTAACTCAAAATTGCAAGAAAAAAGGAAATTATTAGTGTTAGTCAAAGAATCTGTACTCTAATTTTGCCTTCTTCTCATCACTTTTTACAGCACTTCAAGATACTGAAGGTAAAATCACTGAATATACTTCAGTGTTAGGCAGAAAATTACTCCTCATTTTAATATTTCTCCATTCTGAATTCAAAGTGCAAGAAGAACAAGGTGACCAAACCTCATGTAACTTTACAGCAATCCAAATATCTGGCATTTTGGTGCAAAAGGAATTCTCAATCCCACTTGTATGAAGATAAATCTTCTACATAACATTATTTCCTGCCAAAACTAGCTCTGAAATTCCTACTTACAGTTACTTCTTCATAAAACCTTTCCATGACAAGTTGCCCTAACCGAAATCTGTTAATCCCTTTCAACTTCTGATGAAAATGAATGAAGTTTTATGCAGTTCTACAACTTGAAAACAAACTTTTCAAAAAAGGCAGCAAAAGAAAACCTATGCTGCTCTTCTGGTACACATTACAGTTGCCTAGCATTCTCTAATACGGAGAATGCCCCAGAGGAAACACGTTGCTATTTCACTCTAAGTTCTTTTGAGGGCTAGTAGAACAAAATAATTTAGAAGATTGCCCTAGTTAGAGCAGCAGGGACTGTCTGGGTGTAACCCAAACTGAGTATTCTAAACCCTCTATGTCATTTCCCAGAAACTGTTAACAATAGGCCATTTGCAGCAGCTGCCCAGAGCACACCTGACCCCTCAGGCTGTAAGCGGGGTGTTAAGAGGCCTGTGAGATAAGAGGATGTTCCTGTCCCCACACCCACAACTCACAATCACCCACTGTGGAACTCCCCGCTCTGGGGGAGGCGCTGGGCATTCCTGCCTGAGTCTGAGTGAATATAATCTTGGGGTCTTGGGACTTCTGGTACCACTTGTGGGATCCAGAGGAGGACCACTGCTCTCAACCGGACTGCGACCATCACTCGCATTTTTGTGGGTTAAAACCAACTGTTAATCTGTATAATTGTATTTATTGTATTATTGTATTATTTTTATTAAATTGCAATTCTGATTTATAATCTCTTTTGAGTTGGGTTAATTTCTCCTGCCGGTTTGCCTCTAAACCAGCACAAAGATCCAAACATAAAATCCCACGGAATGGCAGGAGTCTAACTGGAAATCATCAAGTCAAAAGCCCCCTGCACAAGGCAGTCACCCAGAGCAGGTTGCTTAGGGTTGTTAGGTTTTGAACTTCTCCAAGGGTACAGACTCCACAGTTTTTTTGGCAAACTCTTCCAGTGCTCAATCACCCCTGAATTAAAAATAGATTTTTCTTACATTTAAATGGAGGTTTTTTGTATTTCAATTCGTGCCCACTTCCTCTTATATTTTCACTCAAATTTTTTCTGAACTGAAAGTGCCTCAAATGCAGCCATCTCTTAGGCTGTGTGATACATTAGAAGCATCATATATAACTGTAAGTTTGAAAAATGCTACAACACAGATTACTAATGCATTAAGAAATTCTGGTATTTGATCAGAACTCCAATGTTAAAATGACAACAAAAGCTCAAGACAACCCGCTCATTTATTAAATGTTGTTTCAATTCAACGAGGTTCTGGTTGATTCCCAAATCAACCTGTAATTTAATGGATCTATAACAGAACTAACTGGGACATATTACTCATGAAATAATGGAGCTATAAAGAGGAGATCTATAAAATCCATACCTCTACAATGTGGTAGTTCAAGGGGATCTTGTTATTTCCTGGATAGCTCAACAGCTGTGCAGCACTGCAAAACCAGAGATAAATTCAAACATGACATAGCAAATGTGATGTAAAGATCAATTAACAGAATTACAGATAACGCTTAATTCTAGGTAAGAGTTTCCACAAAAACAGCACCAAACACATCAATAATGCTTCTAAAACCTGTTCATAACCACAAAGCACTTAAAAGACAGCACAAGAACACAGTAGCATTGCCTAAACTGTGATCTGTAACAACTGTACTTTATGGAGTGGTTACATTGCTTTGCTTTAAAAAGTCACTGTGATATGCAATTCTGGCATAAACCCATGAAAAACGGAAAGAAAAACTACTCTTAACAATTATAGTTCAGAATTACTTGAAAGCCCAATTAAGCCAGTGGGTTATGTAAGAAACTCATGTTTCAAATGCTTCCTCTTTTAATCAGGTCGTTACCACCTAGTAAGTGCAAAGCAAACAACTAATTTCTCTGGTAGTCCTAGTCTTTTACTGTCCTCTGATAATTACAAAGACTACCTCAGTAACTGCAACAACACTGAATTTCTAGTTTCTGCTGAATCAAACAGCTGCAACCAAAAAACTTTACCACATGCCATCACCAAACCCAACATTTCTGCCCATTTTTTTGATTACTATATGCAGCTTGGTAGTTTTCATACAGAAGCCTGACACCTGCAGCAAACCACCTCGGTTACCAATTACCCACATCAAACATTGCCCAGGAAGAAATGAAGGAAAGTGCCCTGACTGCATCCTGAACTGAATGGACTGCACAGCTGAACCGAAACTAACGAAATCTACTCGCCCAGCAATGGCTCCCCAGAGCTCAATTATCCCCGCCATGTAATTCCCGCAGGAAGCCCAACACAGCCATAAACACCAAGGCACTGTCAGCTGCAGATGAACAAGCTCAAGGCTCACTGCCCCACCCAGCAAATCAGCCCCCTCAATGCTCTGGGAAGCACAACACAGTCACACTCCCCACAGAGCTTCTGTGAAGGACAAGGTGTGTCTGCATACTTTTTGCAGCATGTTCTGTATTATTAAGGGATTCCCTTCCCAGAATCCACTGTCCCCCTGGATCATACAGACTCTGTTATCTGGGTAGTACAGGCACATAGTATCCCAGGCAGCAGTTTTAATAGAGCTAAATGTAGAAAATCAGCTTTCACCAAGTGCTTCAGGAAACATATGATCCCAAGCTCTTGCCTAACCACTGCAGGACTCTACACATCCCTGCTGGCACCAAAGCCACGGCAGCATTTAAAAAGTGCCAGGCCCCCTAGTGCTAAGCTCCTCCTACCAAGTCTTTCTCTCCTTCCAGTGGGATTTGATGATGCAGTGGAGGTTCTCTTCTATTACAAATCGTTCAACGGAGTGGCTGCCAGGCATGACAGGACCCTAGAAAGAAAGAGTGAAGACTCATGAAGATCACTGCTAATGCCGTGGTACAACAGGCAGCAAGCTACGCTAGACACGTTTACAGGTGAAAAAACGTGGTCCAACTTCCACAGAAACTCAGTGAGATCTCAGCTGCCCTTCAGCCTTCAGGACTGAAAAGGTGATGTCACACAGTTCCACGTAAACCTCAGACTCACGTTTAAAACAAAATGTATATTAGGACTCATTACAAGAAGAAATAGGAACAAAATTAGAGAACATCATTTTAAGTTCATAGAGTATCTGCTTCTTCCTTTGCTTTGTGGAGTCATTGGGTAGGCTACCACCATGCAGCCTGGAAAGAAAATCATAGTTGAACTAGAATATGATAAAGGAATAAAGCCACAAAGTAGAACACACACTCATGAGTATTCTTTCTTGTTCACTACAAAAAACAAAGGCCAAACAATGAAGATAAAAGCCAGCAGACTTAAAGGAAATGGAGGTATAAAAGCATTTGGGGAAAGCAGTACATATTCTTTTCCTGCGCTCCTTTGTTCCACAATACGCATCAACAAATTTTAACAGACAATAAACACTGCAATAAATACCTAGCCTGGAGAAAGACTCCAGTCACCAACCTTTCGGAAGCGAAGTCTAACCCTGTGAATGTAGTTTTACAACAGACATTAAAGAATTCAGTCAACATTGTCATTCTAAGCATCACAACATCTAAATTCTCCTCCTCACAAACTCTGCTTTTACAGTAACTTGGTAACTTAGTTCCTTTCTGCAGAAGTACCAAAGCAAAACTGTCCTCAAACCACTCACTATCCTGGGAGAGGAGACATCACATTTTGACCACTATCACCCCAGCAACCTAACTGTGAAACCCACTTGCCACCTTCCACAGCAATCACATACCTCAGGGTCATCTGTGTAGTCAAACATCCTAAAAATAACCCTTGGCATCGGGTATACTGAATCTTCAGTATGAGGTGGAGGGGTGAACGGAGGCAGATTGTGTTGCAGAGCTTCACAAAGAACGCTGTCAAAAGCCAAGTAGGGCCTCAGAATGTGTCGCTCCTGCCAACGGTCTTTTTTCAGCTTCTGAATCTGAGACCAAAGGCAGTCTAAATACTGAAGGAAAAGGGTGAGAAACGTCAGATGCGCCAAATCTCGCAAAAAAACTGGCAGTTCCCTGAGCTATCTGAAATGTATTCCTTAACCTCCATGCTCAATTCCGAAAAAAACCCCAGTTTCTTAAACTGCTGCTTCAGTAAACTAACAAATAATTTAAGAACTCTAAATACCAGAGCCGCTCCTAATTCCACACAATATTGTGTTTAGGAAAATTTAACCCCTGTAAGTTTTTTTAACAGCAGCAAGCAGCTTGGGAGTCCCAGTGGAGCTACAGCAGCGAACGTCATGTCAGTTATTGCTCTTTGGTGGTATTAAAACAGACATATCAACATTAAAATCAGAAAGACATTCTATTGGACTGCCATGCTGGTCCTAGAGCAAAAAAAAACTACCAGCTACTGTATATTCAGTACACATACAATACTATCAAATATTAAACCCCTTTGCCTTGGTTTTCAACACAATTTTGAGTCCCAGCATTCTCACAGAGATAGCACAGACATCTGTGCAACCGGCAATAAATAACCTTGCTTTGTTTAGTTACTCCAGGAACTCTGGAGGCCTGCGGCCTTACTGAACGCAAGTTCCAAATTATAACTTCTACATGGAGATGCTTTGCATTTACTGAAATCATCACACTACAATATGCAAGCATTACAAACCCGGAAACAACTAGCACTTGAAGTGAACAGTCATGTGTGCAAGTACTCTGGGTAACACATGGTATCAAATGCAGTCAGCTAATCTCTCTACTGAACTAAATGAGAAAACTGAGATATTGGGTAGGCAGAATACTCAAGTAGACAAATCAATCATAATCAGAAAGCCCATTCCTCCAAATTACGATTAACAAGATAATTGTTAAGGCTGTGATTTAATTAGAACAGTGAACACAATCTAAGAGGGCCATGCTCCAAAATATCCCAGGAAATCAATTTAGATACCCCATCCCAACATTTGTCCTGAAAGTCAGGGGAAATAAGGACCCTCAGGAATATCCAGAAAGGCAAATCCCACCCTAAGCCAGCCAGATGCCACCTCTCCTCTCCATATTTTTGGCTTGATTGTGAAAGATGGCATGGTAACTGCTGCCCACAGTTTCTACATATTTCTTTAGCACTTCCTAAGGTGGAGAAAGCAAAGTCACTACAGAGGGTTCTTTCTCACAGACAGAAAACATTTAGGGATAAGTAAGGAATTATATTCTGTTTTACATAAAAAGTCTTTTAAGATGAAGTCCTGTAACCTGCAGTTCCAAAACAAACACTACAATCTATAGCCATTCCTCACTTTGTAACATTTTTCAGGGGCCTGTCAGCACACAACAAAACTCTTCTTACTCCATACAAGCTCATATTTTGGACCAATACTTGGAATTTCCCCTTATTGGAATTACTGTCAAACAGCAGACAACTCAAAGCATTCATGCTTTTAGAGGTGCCTTTAAATTTTGTGATAAAAGAACACCTTAGCACAAAACTATTTTTCAGACTTTCTGAAAGAATGCATGTTAAGTCCAGTCACCTCTTCTTGTGGATGTGGTTTATCAGCCGTCCACACCTGCAGCATGGGTACGTGAATCTTCTGGCGGCGTCTGTTCAAACAGGAAAGAAAACTTGACTTTAATGGACTAATTTAGGGCAGCAATTTTGTTTTTTCCTGTGGGTGTACTGCTATTTGTTCTTTTCAGCTGATGAAGTCTACAGTATATAAAAAACAGGTTTCTGATTACTTAAAATCTCTCTATTAGTACATCTTGACAACAACATGAACTTGAAGCACCCAGACAGAACGCAGTGACACTCGTTAGCACTACTGCAGCAATTGCTCAGTGTTCATACCACACTTACAACTCCAGCAAGAGCAGAACAAGACCTACAACGTATTCTAAAATTAGACATGACAATAAAGCTTTTCAAATTCAAAAATCTTTCCACCTAATGTATTTTCAGGACTTTTGTTCCCTCCCACAGGGCAGTTCAGACCTAAGGTTTTAGAATACTTTTAAGTGAGCATTAATAATCAAAGCTATTAATTTTTACTTACTAAAGTACTTAAACAGATACCACTAAGAGTGTTTCTAATGGGTCACAACTTACTTCAAATAACTTTCTGTCTGAGACAAGAGACGATCCATTTCAGCGTCCTTTTTCTCATATAACTCCTTTCCAACCCAGGGCAAAGATGACAGAAATGCAAACATATACCAGTCACATCGCACCTACAGGAAGGTAACATACCAAAATCTAAGTATACAAGTGAGCTTCAACAGATTTTGTACACACATAACATTTAAATTTGAAACATCAGCACACTGTTTTGGCAGGACACAAAGACCAGCATTTGCAGATTGAAACATCTAATTTTTCGCTTGAACTGTGATAAACGGGCCTGAAATATGGTATCACTTTCAAAGTCCTTCTGCAGATTATCAGTACAGGAGAAAAGCCAACTGCCAAAGTAAGGTAAAATAAATTCACTTTGGCCACTTCACTATAGAGGACCATACTTTCTTACTGTATGACCTATTTCCCAATTGCCACAGGCTCCTTTTACTAATGCTCAGGAATTCAGTTTGCTGTCTCTAAAACCTTCCTGTTCTAAGCATAAGTACAAGGAGGATCAGTCCAGACAAACTGTTAAAACAGCCCTAGGGAGCCCACAGATCTTTTGCTTACTTGGGGTACATCCTCCTCCTGTGTCACACTCACAAAGTTCTCAAACATAGCTACCATCGAAGGTGCAGCTATTACATGACAATTCACAAGATCAGACAGAAAACGAACCTAAAAAAAAGAGAAAAAAATTGTTTAAAATTAATGCTTTCTAAACTAGCTGCACAAGAACAAAGTTTACTGAAATGATTAAAAAAAAAATCAATAGAAGTATAGTAACTACTGAGTACCACCAAGAGTGAAATACTGTACAGACTCACCTTTCAAAGCAAGAAAACAAGTATCGTAAGTGCTGCCTAATAGATTGTTCACTACAATGTCTGTTATCTGTTCCACTCACACAACACTGAAAGGATAATATTCCTAATTAAGGAGTGATGGGAAATACCAGTATGCATTCTAAGACATGCAATCTGATACTAAAGAAGAAGACCCTTATACTTCTATCTATCCAGTATCAGATCACTAAAATAACAGAAATCAGCAATTAAGTCTTATTAGAAAATTGTCCCACGGTTGAACAGCAGTCTCTTGACTAGAACCTTTATTTTCACCAGTTGGGTTCAGAAGCAGCTTGGAACTTGGCAGTGGGCTTCTAAATCAAACACTGCTGAAGTTCTAATACCTTTTAGCAGACAAAATCTATAAGCAGCAAGAACAGGGCCAGTAGTTTCAAAGACAGGTAGCACTTAAAACTGCCTGTTTGATCTTCGTCCCTCATAAGCAGAATGAAAATAGCCATCAAAAACAGCTTTTAAGAACCAGATTGTTCATTTTCTTTTCAGTATTTTTCCAAGAAAGCCACAAGACCATTGAATACCTCTGAACATAACAGAAGCACAATGACTTTCATTCATCTTTTACATTTGACTGTAGAACAGGTGGGGAGAAGCACCTCTTTATCACAAATTTAATTTTTCACCGGAAAAAATATACAGTTGGAAGTAAATTTTGCAACTGTGATATGATCCCTCTCCCTTGAGGAAGGAAACAGTTGTCACGTAACACACATTTCCTCTTGGAGTATTTACAGGTACTGACTGTAACATACACTGCAAGGCCCAGCTCTTCTGGAACAAAAAGGTAAAGAAGAAGATGAAAAGGACAAAGAGAAATGTAAAACAAATAGACAAAACTCCACTTACTAAGTGCACAGCTTCGTTATACATATTGACTTTCAGACATTCTTTAAGCTGACGAATCATGGCTTCTACAAATTCTCCACCAAAATTGTAGTTTCTGGCATTCAGCAACCCAACCAGTGTGGTGTAAACAGTAAGCTTTTCTGGTAACAGACGTGCGCTGACACAGAAAAAGGAACACTTGGTTAGTCGTTTATTCATCACGTGCCAATTGCATTGCACCTTAGAACCTGCTTCTCTTGTCTCACAAGGAAATAAGATTGCTAGCAGGATCTTACAGTATTATCCCACAGTTAGCATCTTACAGATAATATTTCTTGTTTCAACCATAGCCCCTTAGAAAGGCACGTGCCATTTTCAAGTACAATTAAGGTATTTGCTTTTTATTTATATCTAATTGCTGAATATTCCAGAGGGTTGGCCAAATAATATATGTGATAGAATTTATGCAAGGATGTAAGAAGCTGTTTCAAGTTCACAATTTAGAAATAATGTTATTATGCAGCACAGGGAAAGCCAGGCCCTACCATAAAGAATTCTCCTCAACCATTTTTGTATGCATGAAAGCTAACCCTGTACTTTCAGAAGTGTCTCATTGCTACAGGTTAAAAAAAAAAAAGGCACTACTTGCCTTTTATTAACAAGTATTGGTACAAAAATATATTTAAAGTATCTGCAAAACCAGATACTTTAGTGTAGGCTACAGTCTCCCCCCACACCCTTCTTTTGTATTTGTCTTAACTGCCACCTTAGACACTTCACAACCCCTCCCTCAGACATCACTCAGCGACCCTGACATAGGGCACCTCTGCTCCTGCACTCTGCAAGGGAGGGTAAGGAGAACGGTCAGGCAGCAGAGAACCTGCTTTCTGCTCCTCACGTTTGGGATTACAAAGACATGAGCAAATCGTTGCCAGAGAAGAGGAGAAAGCAGTGAGAAAACACTACAGATAATAAGACAAAATAAGTGTTAGCAGCCAACAGCTTTGGTGCTCATAAGCATTTCACCCGGGTTCAGGAAACTGCCCAGCACTGCTGTGTTCCCACAGCTACTGAAGAACAGCTCTCAAGTTTCTTATATCTACTTTGAGCCTTGTACACATTTCAAGTCAAAGTAATGTAAAGTCGTATTTTCCTTGAATTACACCTACTACATAATGAGCTTATTCCTCTACTTCTTTCCTTTGTAGTAAAACAAACTCCATGCTATGATGGCAGCAAGGAACTAGAGCCACTCTTGGCATTTAAACTACCTTTAAACTTATGCACAAAGAAAACACTTCCCATGTTCCCAGACCTCCTCCATACGTACACAGTGCACAGTATTCTGAGTATCTTGCTTTTGTAATTGGGCAGATCAGCTTCCAAAACACCAGCTAGGCCCTCCAAGTTGCTCTCCAAAGACGAATTACTCTAAAATTAAAATGGGGGGAAAAAAGTTTCATCATCAACCACCAGCGTGACTCTCATATCATGCAAGCTAGTGAAGTCTGAGGAGATATCACCTCTTTTTTCACGGCAACAAGCTGTGATAAACTGTTCTCACTTGCCTAAGAGAAGGAGCAGCTACTTCTCAGAAGAGCTGCACCTCACCAACCTCCCCCCTGGGAACTCCAGTGCTCCCCAAGGACGCCAGATGACACCACCTCGGGCATCCGTGCAAGGCAGCCGAGCCTTGGTTAACAACACAGCGTTTGTGCCTTTTTTTTTTCTCAGTGCACGGTCATCTTTTGTCTTTTCACCCCCTCTTCCACTAGCCCTAAATTCCGTCAGGACTGGAAAATGGTGCCACAGGGAGACCAAGTTTATTCCTCCACGTCCTTGGTAAAGTGGGACCACCAACACCCGCAGGCGCACATAAGTTACATAGGTAACTACTGGCTGCCTGTGTATCGCTGCTGGGCAAACACCACGATGCAATTTAAGCACCTGCCCGCCACAGCAAGCGGCTTTGAGAAAACCGACAACTTTCCGCGTATCTCACAAAACACGTGGGGTTTTTTTTTAGGGGAGGTGTGTGTGGGGGGGCCGGCTACTACAGACGACCTGCTACCACATGGTGCACCGAAGGGGAAAGGGGCGAAGGGAAACAAGGCTTGAACTCTCCCGAGCCCACCTACCTTCTCTCCCACCCTGCAGATGAGCGACTCGAGCCTCTCCTCGATCTCCGACGGCTCGGACGTCCTCCGCCTCTTATGGGGCTGCCCTGCTCCAGGAACACACCGAGCACAGCGTTACCGACGCCGGAGAAAACACCCCCCGCTCCCCCCGGCTCCTCCATCCCGCCCCATCCACCCTGCCGGCCGCCCGCGCCACCCCGGGGGATGAGGGCTGCGGGAGCGGGGAGCTCACCATCGCTGTCGTCGCTGTGTCGCCGCCGCGACATGGCGGGAAGGAGCGGCCGGAATGAGGGCTGGGAAGCGGGGAGAGGCGCCGGGAAGCGGCGGGAGGCGGCGGGAGGCGGCGGGAGGAAAAGGGCCGGGACGCCTCGCGCGGGCCCACAGCAACGCGCTCGCTCCCCGCCCGCGGCCGCGCTGCTTCCGGGGCGGGCACGGCCCCTCCCGCCGCTTCCCGGCCGGGCCCGAGCGCTTCCGGGGCGGGCAGGAGGAGGAGGAAGAGCGGGCGCTTCCCGGCGGAGAGGCGGAGATGGTGCCGGCCGAGACCGGCGCGGCCGGCAGGAAGCAGCGCGCCCTCGCCCGCAGGAAGGTGGGTCGGTGCGGGGCCTCACCGGGCCCGGGGCGGGGGTGGGCGCGGCGGCCTCGGTAACGCGGCGGCCTCGGTAACGCGGGTCCTTACGGTGCCTTCCAGGCCTTCTCCCTGTTCGTGAAAGCCAAGGAGGTGCCGGCCGCGTCCCGGTGTCCCGGCGGCGGAGAGGGCGTGCGGTGGCGGTGCTGCCGGCAGGCGTTCGAGGAGCTGCCCGGCATCCACAGGCACGTGGCTCTGCACCACTCCGGAGACCTCGGGCGGCAGGACGGGCTGGATGCGGGGCCAGCAGAGGCCGGAGGGAGCCCTGCGGACGGCCCGGCTCCTGCGGGCAGCCCGGAGATCTCCTGGGCGCTCCCGGACACCAGCAGCATTAGCCACGACGATCTGACGAGGTAAAAAAGCTCCCCGTGGGTTTGCCGGCCCGGGAATGGGCTTTACGTGCCCATCTTTACGTGATTATCTGCTAGTAGTATTTTTTGTGAAATTCAGTCAAGTGACACTTTTAAGGTGCAGAAGATACCTTCCCCGATATTCCTTTAGCTCTTTGAAGTCTTTGGATGCCTTTTATATAAAGAGGTAAATGCACTGCGGGTTTTTTGATGTAGTTCAGTCCATTTAGGGTACTCTCAGAGCTCTGTCATCCCACGTTGTTAAAGCTGACCTATACAGGTGTTGCTGGGCAGCTTGGATCTGTAAGGAAGGAAGGACCATAACAGTAAAGAGCAGAACAGCAGAAGATGCTCTGCACAGGTTCCTTTTCTCTGCTCATTCAGGTACATTAAGGGCTTGTTAGTTATGAAGTAGGTTCACAAAACTGTTCCAGACTGTGAGAGAGTACAGCTTGTGCTGCACGGAATGCAGGCCCACTCAGTCTCACTAAAGGTTTTGGCCTTTTAAATTTAGATAGCTCAAGCACTTGAATTTTCAAGTGCTAGTTTGGCAAATCGAGCATTCAGTGGGACACCTGTACACACAAAAATGATCAATTCCTGTGTCCTGTGTTGAAAGAGCACATGTAGGGCACTAGCAGAAATGTCCCATGCAGCACAGATAAGTTCATTTTGTACCCAGTCCTGACAACTAGAAGTGTGGGAGCTTTTTTTAGTTAATATTCCTTCTCTTTGAAATAAATCAAACCTAGCAGTGCTAATCCCTCCAAAGTTTGTTTGGTTGTTTTTTTTCTCCATATAACTGCCAGAAGAAAATTGTCTGCTTTTTGAATGTTTACTACTAATAGTATGTCTTTGTTCTTTCAAACCCTAACATCCTTTTTCTATTTGGTTATCTTTACCATGCTATGGGCAGCAAGGTGGGAGAAGTACTTCTATATTACTGTTATTGTGAGGTGAAGGATCCAGAGAAGCTCTGTGCTTGGCAAAAGGCTCTATGCCAGCATCTACATCTCACTGGCAAGGTAAGGTTTTAAGCAATGGGTGTATTCTTTAGCAAAAAAAACCTATCTTTGCTTACTATAGGACAATGGGGCATGTGGAGAATTGGGTGTTTGCACCAGAAGATGCTAGTTTGTTAAAACCCCATTAAGAGAGGTACTCAGACTCTGTAAGGTATCTTTTAGATTTCTGCTTAAGAGCTATTGCTACAAAGAAAAAAAAATACAGATAATCTTGTAGCTGTTTTGGTGCAGGAATACCTGGGCTTTGCAGCATCCAGCCAGCCTCTGATCCTCACACAGTGCACGGTGCAGGCCCTGTTCTTGCAAGGGTAATCCCATTTCCATCATTTGAACCATTACACGTGGAAGCAGAAAACTCCTTTTATCACTCCTGCTGTCACCTGAGAACTCCCTGATACACTTTTAGATAAAGGCAAGGAGGCAGAGGTGGTGTAATCACTGGTGTCAATCAGGTGTCTCAGTTAGCATTACTAGGCTAGGTTTTATCCTGTGGCTAGAGGGTACTGCAGCACAACACAGCCTGAGGGCCAAGCTAGAGGTGCAGCAGTGTGTAGTGTGGAACTGGGCTTGCTCTGCTTCGTGGTTATGTGTATCGTAACTCCTGAGGGCACAGCGATCTTCCAGCCCAGTAACTACACCAAGCTGTAATCCATACAATCAGGAATTAGGCGAGAGCAACTGACATCTTAGACCACACCATAGGAGAGCACTGTTCATTCCTGTACTGTCTTTGTTCTCCTCATTCTTGGCAGGCCAAAAGGAGGTGAGTTGCTTATCTAGCTGGCCTCTTGAGGCTGTGGGCAAAGGTTAGTTTTGGCCTCATGAAGCTGGTGTTCCTAGACTGTCTGGAGGACGACTCAGAGGAGGAGACTCCTTTTGTCTTTGACTTTGACTTGTCTTCCTAAGTAGCTTCTTTCTCTCTGCCCATGCTAGGCACATTCCCTGTTGTACCTCAGCACAGGAGATGTGGGAGTGAAATGTCCTGATGCGTTCACTTCTTTTTCTGCTCAGCTCTCTTGCTTGGCAGTTGGTATTTTTCTCAAATTCCTTTTTTTTTTTTTTTTTCATCTCATCTCTGAGGCAGGTACAGCATTTAGCTTCTTAACGACTTGTTTTTCTCCTTTCGTCTTATGTTCAGTCTTCCCTCCCTCCCCCTACTTCAGCACTTTTGTTCATTTGTCAGTGCTGAAGATAAAATGACTCACCCTGAAGTTTAATATTAGATACGACATTATGCATATTCACATTTTGCTTTTAGCTGCGTGAGTCATGGGGCACAAGCCTATTGTTCTTCCTGAGGCAGACTTCCAGTGGGAATTTTAATGCTGATTGCAGGATTTGCAGACAGCAACTTCTCTGTTTAGAAAGCATTTCTGTTTATTGCACGGACTCTTCTGACCATCTTGATATGACTCTTTTGAAATGGCTCAGAAGTGATTACTGGGGTTTTTTTCCCTATTTACTGTCTTTATGTTTAACTTCAGTATAACCATATTTTCCTTCCTTATTCAGTAGTCTCTTTTCTGAACATACTCTTGTGCCTGTCTTTTCCATCCAGTTATATTTTGCTAATTTCCCTGTGATCTGTTTTGCTGTCACTAAGGCTCAGCCCCAGCTTCTCCTCTTGCCTTCTAGGTACGAGTTGCTTCAGAGGGGATTAACGGGACAGTTGGTGGAAGTAAAGTAGCTACCAGTCTCTACATTGAAGTTATGCTTTCCCAGCCTCTGTTCAAAAACGTTTTGTCTCACGAGGATTTCAAGGTATGAAAAAGTAATTTCTACGTAGACATTGTTAATGCAGGTAATTTAATTTTTAAGAAATAAGCACATTCCTTCCTGACAGCATTACCTCTGCTGTAGCAGTTCTGCCCTGCCAGCACTTATGTAAGCCAAGGGTTCTTAACCATACTTGTTTAGATATCTTTGCTGGCTTTTACCAGCATTAGCAGTTATCATGAGCTCTGACGGCAGCTGCTACAAGCTTTGGCAGCTGTGGGTGCTTCAGCCCCATCAGTCTTCAACAAGCATTTTCTCCAACTTGAGTAGGCATCATGACATTCTCTTAGACAAGGAAAGTATTTCCACGCTGTCCTCTTCACCCTAATTTGAGATCCTTGACTAGAAGCCTACTGATTTAGGTTCATGGAGGCTTCGGTATCTGTACAGGTGCATTGTCCATTCCATGAATTGGATATCTTCTAAAGAAAACACACAGGCGCAGTCAAGAGGTTTCTTCCTCCTCCAGTTAGTACCTGGCTGGAGGCAGAGGTGCTGACTTCTGCTTGAGCCTGAGCTTATGTGCTGATGGCTGTCCTCAGATGGTGAAGGCAGCTGTGGCTGGTGCACTCTGTGGCATCCTGGTACGCTTTGGCTGCCCCAGCACTGTAGGTGCTGGTTTCTGTGTGAGGAAGGAAAGCTGTTCCTAAAGCAGCAGCTCTTCTCCCCACAGTTTTATTTGCAGGGAGAGCTATTTTTTTTTTTCCCATAAGCAACTAGACCTCAGGAATTAGTGAAACTGCGGAACTCAAGTTCCACATAGAGCTGCAGTGATGATTCAGTCTTAGCTTTTTAACTGTTTGTTGTGCTTGGCTGAATTTCAGTGGGAATTGCGTTAGTTATAGTTATCTGCAGATGCTAAAACAGAACAGGGATGGCATTTTACTTCAAGCTTTCTGGGCATCAACATTCATGCATTAGTACATTACAGTATTTTCTGTATTTGCCTAAACCTCAGGATTTAAGTGTGGATTTCTGAAGGAGAGATATTCCTTTCCCTCAGCCGCCAAGACATTTTCATGTTCTAATGAGCTGTAGAAATTAAAGTGAGTGGGTAATTTTAACTTTGACACCTGGCAAATGTTGGTGAATTGGTTTTGTGTTTGTTTACCTAGAGCAGTGCAGGAGGAGCTCACTGTTTCCCAGACCTTCGAATTGGAGTATTTAAAGAAATTGTACCTATGGGCATTGATCCAAAGATAGTGTCTTATAAAGAAACTGGTAAGTTTATTTGACTAAAAATAAAGCCTCTCACCCAAGTGAGAGGTAAGTGAAGAATAAAGGAATAAAGTACCTTTATCAATGACCAGGACACAGGACAAACAGATACTGCTTTCTTACTGGTAATCAGAAGCTACTAGTACAGGAAATTTGCTGGCCCAGGTTTTAGTTTGCTAAGTGTTTAGCTGCCTCAGAAAACTTAACATTAAATTCTCATTTTGTGGGAAACAGTTCAGATGACATCAAGCAGTTACGTTGTTGTGGGATAGGGACGTACCTTGTGCTTTAGTTAAGGAGTAAGTCACTGGATACCTGCTAAATGCAGATGTGAGGTGAAACTATGTTCGATGGTTACAAAAGACATTTCTATGCATGAATATATTCATATTCTAAGTATTCTGTAGGAGTTTGAGACTGCTCAGAAAATAAATCATATGAAGAGCTCCAATGCTCTTGTTGGGCTTATCTTGCAGTAAGAACCAAGCTGTATAAAAAGAGCTTTTTCCATGGAGTTGCTTGTGGATTCAGTGGGCTCTGGTGTTGTTTATGCTGAGAGCTTTTTTCTTTTTTAGAAAATATAGAATCCCAGTGAAGCTTCCAGTTGAGCATGTGCATGTTCCTATGTTGGGGACTGATGACTTGGTGCCGCTCGTTTTGAAGGCAGGCCCTTCTAGTGACTTTTGCACTAAAGCAGAGAAGGGTTCTGCATGAGGTCCATGCCACTCCCCCAAAACAGACTGCATTTGTTTTGTGCTGCCTGTAGCTGCGTACCGTGCATTATGCCCAATAAGGTATTCCTGGCTATGCCTTTGCTATGAGGAGGCTTATATAGATGGTAAGCAGGAGCACAGCAAATGGCAATTAACAGAGCAGTTTGGGTTTGGGGTTTTTTTTTTCCCACCAAGAGGTTTTATTGGTGCCAAACTTCTACAGCATCTTTCTGTGTTTTGGGGAGAGGATTTTATCCCCATTATTTTGTAGTTTGTGGGATGTGTGTTTGAATATTTTTCCTTTTTTTTTTCCCCCTTTTTCCTCCTATTTTACAGCGTTTTATGGAGATGGTTCCTATTACTCAACTGGGTTGCTTGTAGGTGGGGGGGTTTAAGTAAGGTAAAGGATTTTGCTGGTTTTCTTTTTTGTTTGTTTTTATTACATTGGGAGTCTTAAGCCCTGAGCAACCTGAAAGCTGAGAAACTTTATGTAAATTGAAGTTGTACTGAAATTAATAATGCTTACGGAAATTTTCCATTTTGATCAAGAAGAGTTTTAATTTAAAAATTGCATTTTTTTATTCTTCTGCACCTCCAAATGTAATGACAGATGAGCAAAGGGAAGTGAAACGTTTTTCACTCTTTCTTTTACAATGGTAAGAGGTGCCAGGAGGATGCAACAAAAGACCACAGAGACAGGCTTCTGCTGCTTCTTTGTCACGTGGGACAGTGTTGTGTTTTCTTTCATTTGCCAATAGGAAGCCAAAGATGGATAAACTTGGCTGAGTTGGGATGAAAAGGCTATGAACAATCAGAAATTTTTTTTTTGGGGGGGACTTCTGAAGAGCATCTGGATCAGTGAGATCATATATAACATTGTTTTGTGGTTCTGCTTCTCACTTTTCTTTCCCCTTCCCCCCTCCTCCCTTTTTTTTTTTTTTTTTGTGTGTGTTAAAGGAATCCATTTATCCCCTCAGGAATTTCACAGAGAAGTAGAACAGTATTTGTCTCAGGCCAGTCAAGGACAAAGCGATACCATCTTGCTGGACTGTAGGAACTTCTATGAAAGTAAAATAGTAAGTGTTGTTTGCCTGCTTCTTGCAGTGTGTTACAGGTGCTGGAATGAAGCATGTACCACTATGAGGGTGTAACCTTACTGGAAGAAGAGATGCCGTATTCCAGATTGACTGTAATGTATACAAAGTTTTGTAGTGAATATTAGACACAAACCGTAGAGGACTCACTCACAGCTCAGCCTGGAGCCTGCCTTGCTAAGTGCTTGGCAGGAAGAACACAAAGTGGTCCATACAACATTAGCAGTGAATGTTTGAAATAAAAGTGGCATAATTTGTAGGGATGCTCTTCAGCATTTTTTGCCTTGTCCCATATGTAAAAAAGAACAGGAGCATCCTGCTGTCACAACCACCACCCCTCTGTGTTGTGGTTTGTCTTCTCTCTGACAGTGCTGTTCTGCTTAGCTCAGTCTTTTCTGTTTGGATGAGGAGACATGCTGTGTCGAGAATCGTCCTGCAGTTTTTAACATGTGTTTTAATGCATAGATGCATCTGAGGAGCTGCCTAAAACAGCTGCAGTGAGATGAGTGTTCTGGGCCAAACATTTGTTACTTCCTGTAGTTTGAAGCACAAACCTTACCAGTAATACTGCTTGTAACCAGTGGCATTGGCCATCTCTTGTAATTGCAGGGGCAATTCCAGGGCTGTCTGGCTCCAGATATCAGGAAGTTCAGCTATTTTCCCAGCTACGTAGATGAAAACCTGGAGCTTTTCAAAGACAAGCGTGTCCTGATGTACTGCACAGGAGGGATTCGTTGTGAAAGAGGCTCTGCTTACCTAAGGAGCAAGGTAAGATGTGGTTCTGAGGGCACAAGTGTTGGGGAGTTAACGCTGCTCTGAAGGCACCTGTCTTTTGTTTTGCTGGTACATTCCTACTGTGCACGAACTGCCTAATGCACAGGTGAGGAAATAAATGCCTCTAACTCGTGCTTGCCTCATGCTGTCTCTCAAGGATGCAGATAGTTCAATGCAGCTCATTATAATCTGCATGGACTAGTGTCACAGCAGAGGTTGATCTGTGAAAATAATTATGCAACCCATTTGTTGATTAGGGGTATTTTTACGTCCGCTGTAGGAGTGTTTCAGGAGGGCTTGAGAACGTTCTGCAGTGTTTCCACAGACGCTGTCTCGGCTATGCTCTGTGGTCATTACTGCACGGCTTGAGTATCTCAGAGTGATGAAAACAGCCAGTCAGTGCTTTCCCAGTGTTGTGGATTTAAATCCAGCACATTGCATTGTTCTAATTGTGCTTTCCATCCCACTCTTCTCCTGGATCCTTCCCTCAAGGATCAAGGGAACAGAACACATAAGCATTCTCCTGAGACTTAAACCGTTTTCTCTGCTGCATCAATGTGAACCCTGAGAAATTCTGCTACCGGTAGCAGTTAACTACATAAAACCAGAATAAGCAGCAATTCATGGAGGTTTAAAAGCATTTGATCTGTGATGCAGCACACCTCCCTCAGGTGAGGAGGTGACCAGCTTCTTTTGACTGTAGCATTAAATGCCCAGTCGGGTTCATGTCAACAAGCCAACATTGTGGAGCTGCCCAGTAGTCCCTGATGGCACTGCCTAGGGTGTGAGTGCACGTGGTGCCATCTGATGGTCAGTGAGAAGCTGCTGCTTTTCACTGACCCCTGGCATTTACAACATTTGCTTTGGGAACTCTGGCACACCACCACTGCTGCGGTCTCCTTCAGCTTTTCTGCTAATATGCTTTAAACAGGCAGTGTGCAGAGAGGTTTACCAGCTAAAAGGTGGAATTCACAAGTACCTGGAAGAGTTTCCAGATGGATTCTACAGGGGGAAGCTGTTTGTATTTGATGATCGTTACGCCATTTGTTCCAATGAAGATATCATCTCAGGTAGGACTAGATAACGTAAGTGCAGAAGGCTGGGAAGCTATTGCAATAATTTCCAGAGCTGTGCAGGATAGGGGCAGCCAAACTGGTCTACGCAGTTCTTCCTCATACTTGGTTTGATCTTTTAGTGTTATCACTTTTCATCATGACTCTCAGCTCTATGGCTTTAACACGTAAAATAGAAATGAAAGAAAAGTGGGTCACTGAAAAGAATTCACTAAAACTGGAGCAGTAAAAGGCAGCATTCCCTGTAGAACAGCTGCTGCTATGAGCCGTCTGCACCTATGGAGATGTATGTCAGGCACCACTGCTGTTGCTACCTGCTTGTTGCCCACAGTGCTGATCAGACTGTGGTTGGCCAAATGACCCAAGTTTTAGGTAGTTTTCCTGCTGCCAGCAGTTCTCTGCTCCAGTAATTTGACAGAATATCAACACAGGATACCAGGCACTGTGAGAGTAGCAGCACTGTACTCTACAGTACTTTGTTATTTTCATGCTTTAAAATTTTCTGTAGCTGGTGGAATTTCAGTGACCTCTAGTAGCAGTTGTTAAGAATATAGCTTGGTCTTCTGGCTGGGATTGCTCTTCATTTACTGCAAATGAAATAATCTACCACCTTCCTATCAGTTGCCAGGTACAACAAATAGATGGAATTTGTCTCTGGCCCTTTTTTTTTTTTTTTTTTTTTCCAGGAAGCAGTGCAGATTTTTCTCTGAGTTAGTAATTTTTCAAGCATAACCTCTCATTTCCTCTGCTGCAATTACTGTATACATCTTGAGGGGGCCTGACTTGGTGTAGAAACAGAACACACTCTGGACACATCAAAGCCATCCCTACAGAAGTTTCCAGGGGAAGTGTTGTGGTGCAGCTAAACTGGGCTGTAGCTTTCAGTTTAAGAGTTAAAACCTCTGATATTGTGGAAGGACTCCACCAGGACTGCAAATGACACCCTGTCTGCACAAGCCATTGCTTGTAGATGGAAGGAAGTTCCATGTCACCCCTTTCCCAGAGGCAACACTTCTGTATACTGGCTTGGTTACCACCTGCATATCTTTCTTCTTCTCTTGACATTAAGAACATTAAGAATCTTTAAATCTGTCTATTCAGAACTAGAGGAAGGACTAGTGAGTACTTTCCTCTTTCCCTGAGAGAAAACAGTCCTGTGTTTTTCATATCAAAACCAGAAGTTTAAAAGTTATCTAGATTCTAGATCAAGCTAAGCAGGAATTAAAAACATGGAAGGCAATAGATAGCCACTTAAATGAGAGCTGGCAGCCCCCTGGTGCCATGGCAAGCCCTCTGCCAGGAGAAGAGCCAGAGCAGTGCAGGTGTTAACTTTTTTTCTTTTCCTCCTCCCTCCAGCGTGCAGATACTGTGGGGCGCTGTGGGACCAGTATAAACTTTGTTCGAGCCAGCACTGCCGGCAGCTTGTCCTGACATGTCCAAGTTGTTGCAACAAAGGTCTTACAGCTTGCTGTCCTGTCTGTCAAGAGAAGGAGCTCAAGGTGACTTCAAGGGCTGCAGGACAGACACTTAAGGAGGAATGTGAATGCACAAGGAGACGGCCAAGGGTACCTATTGAACGTATCTCGCAAAGGATGCTGGACACAGGAAAAGATTAGGCTGTTTCACTGGCTGATCTGACATGTGCTAATGTGAAGGGCTTCTATAACCAGATCCCTATCTGTTAATCAGTTAGGTTTGGAAATCATGAAAATGTGTTGGCTTGGAAAGTCGTGCTCATATGCTGCCTTTAAACCTAGAGTATACCCTGAAAACCATCCATTACTTGCCTGTAAATTACCAGAGTGCCCAACACGTCACCAGCACTGCAGGATTCCTCTCCCTGGGGACAGCCTTGTAGTGTGGCCTTTACCATGGGGATTTTGGAGCAGAGTATCTGCAGTGTGACAGAGCTGCTCACAATTCAAAAGAAACTTAAAGGACATAAGAACAATTCTGTTCTTTCCTTCCTGCATGGAGATCAATCTCTCTGACCTCTCCAGTGATCATGCATTTGCTCCCATAGCTGGTGGTAGGGTGTGCAAACAGCAGATTTGGTGTGGGTACATGACTAGATTAGAGCTGAAGATACTTTCCATGTGCGCACCACCTCCTGCATCTCTTACTTTAGACCAGTGAGAAGCAAGGGGTAGTTACCTGAAGTCACCGACTTAACTCTTGTGTAAAACTGGCTGAAGGCAGCATAAGGATAACTGGAGCAAAGGCCCAGAGAGAGTCTGCCCAGCCATAGTTGTGTGACCTGTAATGGCCAGTCTCTTCGCGAACGAAGAACCGGGGAAGGTCTTTTACACCTTCCAGCCTGCGCATTGGATTTTTTAGGTGAGACACAGTGTGCGCGGAACTGAGCCCACCCTTTAATCCTGAGGTTCATCTGCCGGGGCCAAGCACGCTTGGACGGTGGCAGCGAGGTCCTCAGGACGTAGATGGATTGCCTTACGGGCTAACGAGCTCCATCTGCCCGGGGAGGGGCCCCGACCGGGAATCGAACCCGGGTCTCTGCGGTGACAGTGCAGTGTGTTTTCCTCTACACCACCGGGGGCTCCCTGTGTGACCTGTAGGGTGAACAGCAAAAACCATCCCCATTCCAATGCTCAGTCTCCCTGTGGACTGTTGTTTCCTTCAACTTGTCAGTATATGAAATATCCAGGGCTCAGCTCTGCTTGCACTGAAAAAAAAACCTGACAGCTTGAAGCTTTTTGAAACAAGCACACAAAAGGGGAAGCACAGAGACTGTCAAAATACCGGCACTATGGCGCTGGAAGTGATGCATGTGTGCATAAATGTCAGCAACAGCTATAAGGAGATTGCAAGATCCTTTATCCAGGTTAAATAATTCAAGATCTGGGGAGCATTTGTCCTTTTTAAACATGAGTTGAGTTTTTTTAAAAGCTGCGAGATATTTGTGGAATTTCCAGCACCTGTTAGTGGAGAAATTGAATTTGAAGGAACCTACAGCAGATGAGCTCAAAATACTTTCCCACATGCTGCTTTGTGTGCCTGATGCTGTACAATGTACAGAAAGGATTTATTAATAGTGTAGATGCATCTTGACTGAAAAATGTCTTTGAAACATACTGTCATTCTGGGAACTAAACACCATTTAGTCACTGGGGTTTTTTTTGAGCTGGCAACTGCTTTAAAAAGCAAGAAAACAGTTCACAGTTCTGTAGTTGCTTAATAACAGTTAGGGCTATGTTATTTTCATACAGATTGTGACTTCTCCCATGGTGCTATTAATTCAGCAAGGCCTCGAGTTGGCTTGACTAGCAACTTAAATATATGGACATTGGTTCCATTAAAGCCATGGCAAGCATTTCCTCTTGCTTCCAGTATTGCCACTGTGAAATAATGGTTCAGCAACTGTCTTTCTGACAATCCATTAATGAGGCAAAACTTTGAATCTAAAGAGTATTTCTTTTGAGCATCTTTCTAGGATAGTGTTTAGTAGTAAATCTATGAGAATTCCCAGCAGTAGACACCTTCAGCAGAAGTCTAAGCAGTACCAATGTTTCCCTGACAGCTTGCCTTCCAATCTTTGCTGGCCATTCAGCCTCTGTGGTTTTGAGGACTTGGAGTACTTGTGGAGAAAGAAGCATGCAAGCTGTACTTGCAGGTCTGGTCTAGAACACTGATGGGGATTGTTCCAGCTTGCATGGTATGCTCTTCTAGTGTTAAGCTAAAAGGAAACACAGTTTTGTAATTCAGTCTGTCAGCAGGTCTGGAACACTGTAATCAGTTTGTTTGTAAGGCTGTTTCAATATCACCAGTACAGAATGGCAACAACTAGACTTTGTACGTAAACTTTTGAAACATCCATGATGATAAAATAACCTTTAGTGCTTCCATTAGATTTTTTTCTTTTTAAGTACTGCACAAATACACTTCACCTGTTGTGTTGGAGGTGCTAATTCTGCTGAGGTAAATGCTGAAGCCTAGATAGTCTGCCACGTGGTAGACCTGGCCACAAGGTACAATTCTCCTGGGAGCTCTTTGGCAGCTGGGGATTCTACCTCAAAGGCAGAGGGGAGCCATGAGGCCTCTTCTGGTTCTTGCTGCACTAAGGCAAGGAAGGAGAAGTGTTTGAGATGTACAGATGGAGTCCCATAAAGCCACGTTCCCTCTGCTGCAGAGTGGAGAGAGGGGTAAGAGACACCCTTGGCCTCCTTCTTGCAAGTTATCCCATAAGCAGCTCTGTATCCTGTTTTCTGGATTAGTTTAGTTGGATTAATACAAATAAGGACTTGCCATGTGAAATGCTTTGTGGTAATGCCTGAGAGAAAGCACATTAGCTCCAGGAGAGGGAAGACTTTTGCCTGTTGACTACCAGATGCTGCAGTAACCAAATGGCTTTTTTTCATCCTTTTCCCGGAGAGCTGTTGGGACAAATGGTGATGCATTTGCTCCTAAATACTACCATTTTGTAGCTCCCTTGCTGCACAGCTTAATACCTTTGACCACAAGGCCTGATGGCTCAGCACTGTCTCTGCTGCGCAGCACTTGGCTGTCGGATGTATCTTGCAGCAAAGCGGCCCTGTGAGGATCAGCTGAGGAACCTGGAATGATCCTGCCACCTTTATATACCTTTGGGCTGCATGGATGCTGCTGTAGTGAAACACAGGACAAAATTCTTGTCTTTTTTTTTTTTTCCTTTCCTTTTTTACGGGCTGGGTTTTATTTTTCATGTAGCAAAAGATGCTGTAGTAGTATCCATGGTAGTGCTCCCTGTTCTGCAGATGCATCCCCTTGCATGTCTGGGTTTCTTAGCACCATCAGGATTTTCCAGGATAAGATGCACCTATGTTCTTCTGAAGCTGAGCCTGTACCATGCAAATTTGAGTGGATGGCTCAGCTGAAACTGTGTGGTTCTGATTTGATGATTTAGCTGGCCATTTTGAAGTCTGCAGCGCACATGGAAGAAAGTGGCTGTCTGCCAGTTTCTTCATTTTGATATGCTTTCAAGTGTTTTTCTTCTGTAGTCTCTTCATTTTCTGATACAGAACTTGCACAGTGGGGAAAAGAAGCTGTAGTGGAGCACTTTATATGACACCACTGGCACATTTGTTAAGATTTGAAGAGCAATGGGTATGTTTCCCACATTGCTGAATAGCGTTTCTTTGCTTTGCTGGTCAGAGCTAAACCGTTGGTGGTGTTTGCACACAAGCTCTGAAGAAGCCTGTGGGACTCTTTCCAGAATATGTGTAAAAGGCTGAAAAACTCCACTCTTAACAGACATTTAAAGGGAGATTTCTGTCAACAGAGAACATTTTCTGGGACGTGTCATCTGACCAAGGTTAAGGCTTCAGCCCAGCAGCACTTCTTCCAGGAAACTCTTGCTAGGAAGCAGGATCCCACCCACATTAACAGTGGGACTTTCGAATGTGATGGTGCTGGGTCCAGTCCACTGCGTGTCTGGGAGCCGCACAAAGGCCTGTGGGGAATTCCTCCCAGGCTAGATGACGGGTGTAGACTGACAAAAAGCTGTCAGACCGTGCGCAGTGCAAGTTCAGAGTTGTGGGTATTTCACTTCACAGCCTTTCTAGGGCACAACATTTATTCTTGCATTTATGTGGACGTAAGGGACAGCAGTAAAAAGAAACAATTCCTAGCAGAACAGAATTTAATTAGTGGTCATGGTCATCTAGACAAAACAGCAAAGAGAGAATTTGACTTGTTTCCAGCGAATATCTGGACAAATGCTTTTAACATAAAGAAGCTGAAAGGAGTGGGAATTAAAAGAGAAGGCTCTCATTTGCTGATTAGTTTGGCCATCTCTTTGGGGTTAGAATTTGTATCACTTCTCTAAAAGTAACTGTTTTCTTCAGATGTGCATTGAAGGATATTGACCCCATCCTGAACCACTTGATTTTTGAGACTCTGTTTTATAATTGGTGGCCTTAAGTTCCATTTATGCCAGGGGTGGAGTTCAGGTTTTTTACTAAGAAACACGGGGATGCATTTGAAGCAGCATCTCCAATTAAATGATTCAGCAAATGTCGGTAAAAAATGGTAGCTCACAATTCTTGAAATTAGCCATGTTTCCAGACAGTAGAAGTGCTTGTTAAACAGTTGCTCCTCTATAGTTACTTGAGATCAACTTGGAAAAAAATAAAGTATTTTTTTAATACTTCTATAATTTGTGTGAAACAATTGTATCTTTCACTCATGCATACCACATCCTAACTTTATGAAACACCGTGCAGGAAGTTTATATAAAATTAAGTCCCAGGGTAATTAAAGTCACTTTTACACTGGGATGTGCTCTAAACTGAGATTGCATAAAACTGACAGGTTGTTATTGGCTTGAATAGTTTCCAACTCTACAGAAAACATCACCAGTCCTACTGGATAAAATCTTCATAAAAACTATAGCCACTAGTTAATTTAAACTGTTAGTGCATAAAACAGAACCGAGGCACCACAAATACTCTGTCAAGGCACTTATTGCCTTTAGATTTCCACAGTGCAGCACAGATCACCGGGAATGACCTCCATAGCCAGGCACTACACTCCAGTTCTGCACTTGGGAAAAATAGGCCCATTCAACTCTGCAAGTCTTCTCTTCCTCACTGAAAAAGAAAAGAAAGAGGAGTCGGTCATGGCAGTGGGAAAATGTGGATGGCAGGCTTGGCTTTAGTGCTGTGGAAAGGAGTTGAGAGATGTACTTTCTGACAGGAGAGAAACAGGATATTCAGCTTCTGAATACCTGCTTTAAGCAGCAGGCACAGCCTTACATAGTTTAAAACCAAGGAAGGTAAGATGAGGTTTCTCTCCCTATGGGTTTTTAAGGTCAGAAGCTACTTGCAGCCTTACCTCCCTTATTCTACAGTCAGTTGTATTTCACACAGTTTATCTATGTAACTGGATTTTGGCCAGTCCATCATCAGATGCTAACTGATGTAGAAACAATGGGAGATGCATGCCACAGTTTTTCATTTGCTAGTTTTTACTCACTTGCCTTTTCAAAATTTAAAAAAAAAAAAAAATTAAAAAAATATATATAATTTCTTATCCTGAGCCTCTAGGCTCCAGTCCTCTGATCATGGTTAACACAGTCAAAGCAGCCTCATATCTAGCCTTAAAACTGATTCACACCTCTGACAGCTACATTCACGACTTTTCAAGAAATATGTGCAAAGAAAAACAACAAAAAAAATTATAAAGAGGATGCAAAAGTTAGCTCATGAGGATGAATGTAAAATCCTTCATAGATGGTTCATACAGAGTATCTTAGAGAACAGAAGCTATGGGACCAAAACCATGTTCTGGTAGCATCAGCTGATGATAAGCAAAAGTATTGAAGTGGAGCACAAGGAGAGCGCTATTGCTGACAGGGAGGAAAATAAAGTTTTTCTGTACTTATACATTGTAGAGCTGAGATTCTATTGCCAGAGACCATCAGACTGATGAGTATGAGCTGCAAACAAGAACCAAATCAGTCCAAAAATGCAGTTCTTAATGGTCAAAGAGGCAAAATGCACAACTGTTAACATGGAAGGCAAGTTGTGAATTCATCTCCTTAACAGCAGGAACAATTAAAATACTAGGTTTAAATCTTTCAGCTGATTACTTTGAATGCCAGGTGCTGCAGAGTCGTTCAAAATCTTGCTCTGTTCCAAAGGACAGGAAATAGCAAGCCTTTCCCAGTGCAGCTCTCTAGTGACCAGGAATGCAGCCACAGGCAGAATAAATACGCAGTGAACCATGAGACTGGGTATTTTGTGTGATCCCTGAAGAACTGGCACATACCTCTGCTTGGATGTGCTTCCTAGGAGCAGAGGACCGGCTGACACAAGGTTTATTTGTGTGATTTGTGTTTAAAACACCACATATTTATCATCTGCCCCGATATAACAGCCGCTGAGTACAGTGTGATGGGTGTGTTAGCTGTGCCCAGTGCTGCTCTGCTGGCCTGATCTCCAGAGCTCCACAGCAGCCTGTAGCCAAGCAATGGAAAGCCTCTGAAATGGCAGTCTGCAGGCTTGCCCACATTTTGCTTCACAAGCTCTTCTGATCACTTCATTGAGAGTATAAAGATAACTCAGCCACGTGGCTTCCCACGTCTCCCTAGAAACAGTTCCAGCTTGTTTCACTGAAGGGGATGGGCCAAATCCTACTGCTGTCCAAGTTCAACTCTACTACTTTTCATCTCCTTGTTAAAGTGGGAATGAAGCTGGAGGAAGACAAGCAGTTGGCAGGAATCACAAGCGCCAGCACATAACCCATGTGCCATATGCTGTAGCACAAGCTGTACCGAACCGCATCAGCAGCTCTTGCTCCTTTCCAACAACACCCACTGTCACTGCAAAAATCCTTACCTCTTCTTGGAGTTTTAGCTGCCCAGTGTCTCCAAGTTTGGAGCACAACCCATTGCCTGCCCGACAGCAGCTGCATTGAGGGACCAGGTGGTGAAGGCTGCCCCTCTCCTTGAAGGGCAAATCATCATCAGGCCCTTCAAGAGGTGGATTCTAATTCATACACATCTACCAGAGCTTTCACGTGGGCAGTTCTGCCCTAATCCCACCAGAAATCGCCCACAGGGCCTTCCTATACTTCCTGGCTTGCAGCCAACCTGACTCACCTAGGTCGTTGTTATTCATCATAGCGTTGGAGGCACGAAGCCGGGGACCTTGCTGAGTGAAATGGTACCCAAACTTCAGTAGGGAGGTGTTTTTTTCCAACATATTTGCGATTTCCATTTCTACTTTGTTGCCCAAGGGCTGGCTCTTTTGAAAATAGAAAACAGAAAATCAACAGAAAATCACGTCAGAGGGTGATTCAGAGTGAGCACTTAGATCTGTCATGTCCACCTCTTCCCTCCTTCTCTGGAGCTGCTGGTTCATTTGACATTTCTGACTTGGAGCTGGTAAAACAAACCACTGGCCTGTTTCTGGTACAACTGAGTGGCTCCAGCTGCTCCAGCAGACATTCCCACAAGTTCGTTTGCCCAAAGACTTTATTTCTTGGACAGATTAACAGCTACGAGACATCTGGAGAAACTAGGATTTTGAACTCCCAGTCATCTGTCCCTGAGCTCCCCGTAGCTCAGCTGCTTCAGCCTCTGGGTTTCTCAGGGAGCTTAACTTGCTACGGCATCTGCACGCTCTACAGGTCTCCTTCGCTTTCCATTGCATTTTAGGAAACTGCAGCAGAAACTGGGGGCTGAGAGCTGCCAGCCTCCACCCTGACCAGCCACTCAGTTCCCCACAGCCAGGGCATGCTCCCTTGCCCAGAGCTGTCACCCCCTTTACCTGGTTGTCGATGCGCAGCTCTACCAGCGATGTGTTGCCCTGGAGCACCTCAACAATAGCAAGGATCCCTGACCCAGAGATGAAGTTTGATTCCACGTTCAGGCTCTTCAGCGTGTTGTTGACCTTCAGCATTTCTGCCAGGGCCTGTGGGCAGGAAGAACTGGCAGTCAGACTGGCAGGGGCAGAGCACCCCAGGGCAGCAGGGGTTCAGCTCCCCTCGCCTCCAGGAGGGTCCTGTGTGCGGAGCAGTTTCACTGCCACCAGATGGAATTGCTCTGTGCAGAGTGAAGGGGCTGCCCCACCGCTGCAGGGGGATTCTTGAACATGAGCATGCTGGAGGCCACAGCAAAACCTGACTGGGTCCCTGCCTGCACTGCGCGGGGCTGAGATGCTCCCCATTATAGCAGGCAGAGAGAGGAGCATCTGTCTTGAACAAGGGGTTCTCTACATCCAAGGTGTCCTCCCAAGTGGCAGCACAACCATATTAATGACTTTTGCTTCCCTCAGCAGGTAAGACCACAGGTGGGCTGGAACACTCCCAACCCCCCTGACCTGATCAGATGATCTCATATCGTACAAACTGTGTGGGAATATTCATCTGTGTCACAAAAGAGAAGGCACAGAGGGTGATGCCCAAGTGGCAGGGCTGACCTGTACCCACAGCACTTGGCCCCACAGCTACCCTGGCCCTGCTCAGTGCCCCTGGAGCCCTCACGTAGCACCAGTGCTGCACAAGTGTGTGTGGAGGTAGGTAGGGGTCACCTGGGTAGGTGAGCAAAAATTAGCTGCCATGGTGCTGGAGAAGTATGCAAAGATGCAGCCTGGAAGGTAGCATGAGGGCCAGGCAGAATGTTCCACACCTCTCTGCATGCCCACTGATACTTAGGATCACGCACAGCAGCCAGAAAGACCCATTATCACCTACAGAGGCCACACATGAGAGTCCTTCTGCACACATCTGCACAAAGGAATATACGAAGGAGAGCTGGAGCAGACGTGTGCAAGGGGAGGAAGAGGTGTGCACACATCAGCACACATCCTTGTACCAACAGAAAGGAACCTCCAGAGAGAGACAAACTGCTTTTAGAGAATGCCACTAGGGAGCCAGTTCTTGTCCCGTGCTCCTTTTCTGGGAGGTCCTTTAGGACCACTGTGAGACTGAGTGGGGTTAAAGGACTGTACCCTGAAGTCTCTGTAGCTGAAAAAGGAAGTGAAGGAACCAATGCCTGTCAGTTGCTGACTTCCACTAGTGCTCCCAAAACTGAAGCACCTGCACCAAACACCAGAGGTATGGAACGTGCCAAACGTGACATAAGGTGCAGAACCAGTCAGTCAGTCAGTCATGCCGAGAACACCTTGCCTGAGAACAGCTCCTGTCACAACATTAGGATAATGAGCCCACAAGTACTTACAAAAGCAACAGGATCGTTGCTCCGTGTCCCAACTATACTGAACTTCTTCACATACGTGTTGTTCTTGAGCGCTTCCGCAAAAGCCTTTAAAGTCGGGATGGGAATATTCTGTGAAAGGAAATGCAGGCAACTTATGTTAGGCCATCATCTGTATGAAGGAATAAGCAACACATTTAAAAGATATTGCTAATTTCCCATCAAGGTCAAATCACCAAATGCAGCGAAGTAATTCAGGAAGGTGTCGAAAAGAGTTTTAACAAGTTCTTTTGCTTAATCAGCGTGGCCTGAGGAGCACGGCAATGCCTCCATCCCATGTTGTACTCTGCTAAAAGCTCACTGCCTTGATTTGAAGCCACGTCTCTGCTGTTTGATTGTTTGATTTAATTGCCCAGAAACTGAGCAATGTAGGAACACAGGTGTTGTGGGGAGGTAACTAGGATCTGTGAGCCCACAGAGCTCCTGTGCTTCCTGGTACAACGACAGCTCTGAGTAACATTCACGTCTTATTCAGAAAATTTCCACCTACAGGGCCTGATCTAGAAAGGCCTGAAAGGATCTGCTTGTAACACAAATCAGACACCTCTGAGTATTTTATACAGCATCTTTCAGGCTAACATTTGTCGTGCTAGGTCTAATCAGACTGAAAAAAAAAAAATCCATGCTGCTTATTCTGAGTTCCTTCAAAATGAGTATTTTTCACTTACCAAGCATTTTAGATACCCTTCCCAAATGCACAAATTTTCACCTAACATTGTAAGTGGGTGGTATCCTCGCCTTGGACTTCTTGCCACACCATTTGGATCCCACCATGTGGAACCACCAGTACTCAAAAGTCGTCTGCAAAGCCATAACACAGAACCCAGTAGCTTACAGTCTCCCCTGTCACTCCTTTGTTCTCCAAACCATGTCCCAAAGTCATGAGTTTAACATACAAAAATAGTACCTGCCTGCCAGACCCTCAGCCTTGTGTCCTCAAGGGACAGGGTCACTAGCCAGAATCTAATACATGAAAGTAAAAATACTTTTGTTATGGAAAGGTGCAGGTAGCATGGCAAAAAAGTCTTTAATGTGCACATGCAGTTAACCATGTTCTTGCTGTTTGGCTATGCCATCATTCAACAGGCCTCATAGAACAGAAACTGTATTTTTTCCATAGATGTATGTGTCCTAAAGGCAACGTAAGAAGTGGTGCTATGTCCTGACTTGCTTTCTACAAGAAGTAAAAGAGCTCCACAGAAGGGATGAGTGGGAGATGGACAGGGCCACCCAAAAGAAAGGTTTCTTCATATTTTCATGGCAAGTGTCAGGATTAAGAAGCCTTTTATCTCCCCACCATTTTATAATACACATAAACAGCCCCTCCACCAAATATGCCTGACTGAATCATCAAAGAAACCTAGAATGCCTTTAACCAGACAGTCTGGGGTTGGGGGTCTCCCCAAACTACCCTCAACACAGCTTCATTCTTCCAGGCACTTAGAGGAGTCCTTTTGCTACCAACCCCAAGCCTTTGTTCCAGGTAAGAATCCCTGTTGCCCACAGTGGGGATGGGAAGCACTGGTGTTTTTTGTTGGGCTACATTCTGTTATGGTACTGCTCTGTGCAGCAAAACAGCCTTGGCCTCTGCCTTCTGTGTTCAAATGTTCCAGCCTGTTATTAAGAGAGGAGGGGAGAAAGGAGCAAGTACCATAATATTGTTAAGGTTGACTTCCTCAAGATCAGGGTCATTGCTTTGTATTCGTTTCAGAGTTTCCTCCACGTCTGTTGAGTTTGGTTCCTCATCAGGAACTGGTTTGTACTGTGTGGGCTTAATCACACCTGCAAGTGAAAAGCAACACATATGAAACCAAAAGCACCCTGAGCGGCAGTATGTTTTCTTTGGATGTGTTTCTCCTCTTCCAGAAGCAGAGATGGAAACATGGGAGATGGAAGAATGACCTGACAAACAGACACGAGATGAGTGTCACAGGACAGCCAGTACCTTCAAGGTCCAAATCTGGGTGACAGAAGAAAGACAGACCACTTCCATGGGGCTGTTCCCGGGGCTGTGCTAGCTCCCCGGCGGCACCAGGGAAGTGGCTGAGACCATGCTGGCTCTCACAAGGCAAGGATGCACCAGAGGTGGCCCCAGCAGTCACAGGCTGCTCTGATATTCATGGCTCTAACCTTCAGCCTAAAAATAATTCCCACTTTGCCTCTGCTAGCAGCTTCAAAGCCAACTGCTGCAGCCTGCTAATGCTCTAAATCACTTACTGTTGAGCCCCTCTTTGTTCACGATGGTGCTGCTCCCCAGTGCCTCATAGTACTGCTGGTTACTCATCAAGGTGTGCATGCCAAGGATGGCTATGGAAAAAGAAAAGGAGAACATGACTTATTGCAGGCTCCAAAGCCAGGAAAAGACACATAGATGCTGTCTGGGACAGGAGTAGTGTATTACCTTTCCCTGTGCAAGCTTGGAACAACATGCAAAGGCAGGACAAAGCCCCCCTAAATACATGACAGGGCTCAAATGTGCTCCCTTATTTATTCCAATGTAGCATGATTCACTGGAGAAAAGGAACATCAGCTTGTGGACAACAAACAGACACACAGTCAAGGCTTCCAAGTAGCCTTCCTGACTTGGTAACACACAAAAATAGTGAGGAGAAGACAGTACAGCACTCAAAAAAAATGTGATTGGTAGGCTTTAATGCAAGGGGCCCAGTCCAGCAGGAGCCTGCACATTCTTGTCACCCAGTTTGTGAAATGGGCTGTGCCCCACACAGAGCCAGACCGATGCCAAGACAGCAACATATGAGGTGACTGTCACCTGAAGCATGGCAATGCTCAGCATGTTTTTACCCAGAAACAAGCCTGGGTTAAAATGAACACATCTTGAACAAATCTTAAGCTGTGGACAGACACAGTGGTCAATGTAATAAATTTCTCCCTAAAATTCAAGTATGCCACCACAAAAGCACGTTGCGTTCCCATGAGCTGCTCCTCTTAGGCTTGGCTGGCACTAGTCTGTCACCATTTTCTCGTTGCTTTGGCCTAGAAATGCTGGAAGTTGCAGGACAAGGCTATCCTTGAAGCCCAGGTCCTGAATAGCATGTGTTATGGTGACAGCTCATCGTGACTCCAGGTCTGGGGTTGCACAGGCAGGACACTCTGCAGCAAAATGTGTCAGTGGACTTCCCCGTGGCCACAGCACATCCCCAGCTGGATCTCACAGAGCCAAGCAGTCTCTATTTGAAACTCTTGAGTGAGGCTGGGCACTTTGAGTTTGCTTGTTTGTATTTTAGCTGTTCCTTTTCTGTGTTGTGTTCCCACAGACGAAATTTTCAGGGGTGCAACACAGCTTGGAAAAGTCATTTGCAGGCTCAGCACCTTGGGGACATGCATACCCCCCAAAACACAGCTTATTTGGGCAATGAAATCTCTCCATCCACCAGGAGTGTGAGTATCTGGACTGCAGAGAGAGGCAAGGACCTGCTATCATGACCTCTCAGGGGCTTTGAGGGTTTGAGTTTGTGCTGGTCGACAAGAGGGACCTGCTGTTTCCAAGTCTGGTGCTTGCTGTGTATTCTCCAAAGGAACTCAAGCAGAATGAAGGCATCCCATTTCTGTCTCTCTCAGCTGACCAAAGGCAGGGGAGCCCTTCCAGGATGACTTGGGAGCCGCCCTCCTGGCCTTGCCAAGGAAGGGATCCAATACATCACAGCTGACGATCATTGCTGCTAAACAGGCAGGAGTAAAATGAGCCCTGCTAAACAGGCAGGAGCAAGGCTGTCACTGTCAATATTGAGATTTCAGGACAGCGTGTATCACATCACTACTGCTGCCACTTCAAGTGTATTCTCCCAGCAATTGCTGAACAAGGTGCCCTGAATAGCATTTCCCTGGAAAACTAATTGCTGCACAGACACGGAGAAAGGCGGATTTGATATGATAGGGCTTTTAAGGACTCTAGGATAATAGTAAAAAAGCAAAATCCAGAGATGCAATCAGTACTTGGACAGGGCACATATGTTGGAAGCCCTAATGCAGAAACACATTTCTAAGGTGAAATACTGAATTATTATATAGAAGATGTCTAGTGGGTGTACTTATTTTACAGACTTTCTTACAGACTTCTGAAGAGGAGGGCACTTCTAGGGAATATGGAATTCTGAAAGAGACAAAACTGGAAGAAGAAAGAAGCCAGTATCCTTGAAAGGTTCATTGACTGCTAGAGCAGCAGGGCACATGTGAGCTCCGTAAAACGCCGTGGGGTGTCCATATGCTCCTTTGGCCGAGGCATGCCCTGTCCCAGTCACAGAGCTAAGTCCATGCTATGGGCCTCAGCAAGAGACCAGTATTGTCATTTGACTGACTGGCTGCACAAATCACAAGAAATCCATAGCTTTAAAAATGTGTTGAAAAAGCTCTTTAACAAACAGCAGCCCTGAGTGCCCTGTGAAAGAGTTCTCTAACCTGACAGCTCCTTTAGTAGGTCCCACAAGAAATCCATATTCCATGTGCTTGACTGTTTCCTAAGGTTTGGTTTGAAGAAAGCTTTGCTCTTGAAGGTATAGTCTGTGGCAGAGACAAGAAGATATCGAACAGCACACACTGTTCCCTTGATAAATCCTTCTTCTCCCTCCTCAGCTTTGGTCCATGCTCCTGATTAAATCACATGGGCTGAGAGTAACTCTTTTTAACAAAGAAATAAGTACTATCAGAACTGACAGCATTCAGATAAACAGCAAAAAATACAATAGCTCCTTTCCCACAAAAGGACAAATAAAAAACCCTTAATAGTTGAACTACTTGAATGCACAATTATTGTGAAACTATTTTACCAGCAATGTCACAGAGCTCTGCATCAGAGGCATTAGCAAGGGCTTCCTCCAGTTCCGGCTCCAGAGTCACACTTTCCAAAACAGGATCCATTGGCTTCTGCTTGGGGATCCAAGCTTTTCCTATAAATGCAAAGTGAGGTCACTCTCAGTGTAGTTGCAGCACCTATTCCACAGCTAGCTGTGCAGACACATTTCCATGGTTTGAGATTAGAACCCACAGTGGAAAGGACATAAGGGGCACAAGAACGTAGAGAAAAGTAAGGGGATACACTGAATCCCTTCCCAGCTTGGTCTGAGTGCTGCTGTGATGTGGGCCAGGAGGCACCTGCAGACACCTCCAGCGTGGAGCTGGGCCCTTTCACCAGGCTCTGTCTACAGAAGCCCCACAGTACTTTTGTCCAGGATCGTGGCTGTTCATAGCATAGCACCCAAAGCCACACCAGCAGGGCTCTGCAGGACTTCACTTCTTTGAAGGCTGCACAAAAGGGGTGAAGGTTTGCCAGCTCTCACATGGACAAAGAGAGGCCAGCAGCCTGGACCCAACACTGTGCGGGATCAGTCCTGCCACTGAGACAGTTCCTATTGCTAACTCCAAGTGCATATGGGCAGGGTAGACGGCACATCCGTCAAAAGAGGGTGGAAAGGAGGTGGTGGAGGGATCTGGCAGCAGGCAGAGAGAGCAGTTCAGTGAACACAAAGGATGCAAGAAGGATCAGGCTTGGGGCAGCTGGTTTAGCTCAGCCTTGCTGCAAAGGGCATGCCAGATAGAGACCTCTGTGCCTTATCTCCCAGGACAGCAAAAAGCCAAGGAACAGACCTTTCAAAGGTCTGTTCAAATTGAAAAGGTGCAAATCAACAGGTCCTGGGAACATAAAGTTGGCATCTCGGTTGCTTGCTCATGGCCTTTTCCTAAGAAGGGCGCCCAGAAGGACAAGAAGGTGTGTGGTGAGTGGTGCAGCTCCAGCCCAGCTCTGAATACAGTGGGCTCCCTGGCACTCCCCCATCCCACTGCCCATGGTGATCACCAGCCAAGCCATGACCCTTTCTGTGCTGGAGCTGGCTGCATCCTAGGCATGGGGCAGTGGGTAGGGTTGGTGGCACTGCTTGGCTGCTCCCAGCTCCAAACCACTGGGAGTTGGGAGCAGCCAGTAAAGGGCACCACTAAAGGGCAGCAGATCTCTTCATAGAGATGGAACAGGACAGGTCTGAGATCTCACCAACCTGTGACTGCCCAAAAGAAAAGAGAGAGGCTTGTGGTGTTTTAACACACCACAGTAGAGAGCAGCCTGTTGGGTGAACCCAGTGCTGCTGAGATTCGAGTAGAAGGAGGAGGGCTCTCGGAGCACTTTGGAGCAGTCCCCTCCCTAAAATAGTCCAGGATCACTGCAGAGATAGCAAGTGCAAAATGCTTGGCCTGGCATGCCAGCCAGGACTATTTTTGTCCCCTCTCTGAAATCAGAGTCAGCAGCACCAAAGGGGAGAAACAAAGATCCTGCTGCTCAGGCGTGTGCAGAAACAGAAGGGGCTAAATTTAGCCTCAAGGAAGAAGCAACTGCACCTCAGGCTCCCCGGTATGAAATGGAGGCTGCCATAAACAGCCTTTTGCACAACAGTTCGTCTCCTGCCTGTGCGCTGTCACCCTGACAGAGAGGGCAGGAATCTGCCTCCTGGGACACAGCTGCTCTCACAAAAATAGGCAGAGCGTCATGTGTGCCTGCAGAGCCACGCATCTTCTGGGTACTCAGCAGCAAAATATCTGCACTGGCTCGGTGCGGAGATCTGGAACCCCTGTCCCATCCAATGCATGGCTTGGGAGACTGCACATACTGTCTGGTCTGTGCAACATCAGCAGGGAACAGGAGAAACTGGGCAAATTTATTTCTCCTGTCCATGCAGTAACTCTTTTCTTCACCAAAATTTCTGTGGTTTAATTCTAAGTTAATTTTAATTAACTAATAGTTAATTTCTTGCTTCTAGAAAGTGTCGTGTCTCAGCCATGCTTTGTTACAAGACTGAACTTTAAATTAAATGGTGAATGTTAACACAGTGTTTTATGCCATGTATGAACAGCCCAACTCCTACCCTGTCCAGCAGCACGGCCAGGGAGAGCACCTCCCATGGACAAACTAGTAAATCACCCTCCAAATGTGGTGATTTATTTACAGCTCTGTCACAGCTGTGAATATGTAATTTACCATCTCTGGCTCACAGTCAATGCAAGTAGTGTCTCCTCTCAACAGCGTGTTACAAGTGAAAATATGTTTAATGCATCTGAGATCATATCAGGCTGAAGTATGAGGAGTTCAGACCAGAAGCTGAAGACTCAAGATGTCTGAAATACCTCTATCCCTTGCAGAGTGCTGCTTCTATCTTCTGGGCTAGGGAATGTCTGAAATTACTAAACTGGTCTTCCTGATTGCACTCAATTTACTCTTTTAATTTATTTTTCTTTTCTTCTTTTTAGTCTAAAAATACCACCTCAGGTTTTATTACGTGAACAGATTTAACACAAGCTCTTCCTAAGAGAGCCATGTGATTCTGTAAGGAGATACCTTCAGGAAAGACCTCAGTTGGAAAACCTCCTCAATATGTCCACATTTTCATGCACTTCTTGTTTGACACAGGGCAACCATTAATGTGAACAGTGTTCAACCAGATCATCTGCTGCAGGGGGACCATGGTACAGAGGGAGACACAACAGCAGAAGAGAAATGCTGAGAAGCTTATCAAACCCAGAAGCAAGGACTGGCTAGCCCATGTCCCATGTCAGATGACATTAAGAGTGCTAATGGGAAAAGGAAAGTTATTTGCATGGTGGGTCATGTACGAGGAGAACCGGAAAAGATGCCAGAAGCAGAGGAAAGAGAAGAGGCAACCTTGCTGACAGGACTCAGGGCCATGCAGAGCATGAGTGCAGCTGCTGCTGTAGGGTATGGTGCAGGGAGACACAAATGTGACCTGCAGGAGGCTGGGAAATAAAACTGCAGTTGTTAAGAGGTGATGGAGATTAGAAGGGAACTGTTGGGACTCATCACAGCTGTGGAGAGCTGTGGAGTTTCTGTATGGTGAGAGGCTCAGAGTGTTGGGATGGAGCGTGAAAGGAAAAGTGCAACATGGAGCACAGCACGCAGAGCTCACAGGAGGATGGGGCAGAGGAGGAGACAAGACGAGAGGATAGAAGATGATGTCGTTTCCAGAGCCTGATACAGCTGCAGTGGCAGCTGGGGACAGACTGAGGCTGCACAGTGGTACAGATTCTGTCCAGTACTTAACAATATATCAAGTAGTACCCAAATCAGCAGGCACAGGGACCTCTTGAGCACACCCCAGTTTATCAGGGGTTAGACAGCAGAGAGCAGATTCACCACCTCAGTGGCGTCAAAATTAAGTTTTAGCAATACAGGTTAGACACAACCCTTCTCCTGTGCCTTCATTGTGATACACCCTGCGTAGTGCAGAGGATGACCATACCTCTCTTTTCACCCGTGAAAGGAACCAAGTCTTCTCTGTCTTTAATGTCCTTTGCTTGCTTTTCTAGGTGGGCCATGAGTTCCTCCCTTTTGAAGGGGCCAGTTGGTGGCTTTTGCGTCTGATCCCGCTGCCGCAACCCTGCCGGCAGCAAGGCGTTCTAGACACGAAGGGGAGAAACACAGGTTACCTGTGCAGGCCGTGATCTCCATCCATCAAACACTCTCCCCTCTCCACTTCCCTCACTGCACTGCCTTTCTTCCACATTGCTGGGTAATTCACTTCTCCTTGTGTAAAAGGTTATCTCCATCCAGCCCCACTAATTCCCACATCATCCAAGACATGTGATGTTCCTTCCCTGCTCCAGTTTCAAATGCTGCCAAATGGATGTTCTCTGCAACTGCAGCTCCAGCTCTTTCTTCTGGAGGCTCTCAGGCATCTTCTACCCCCTATTTGAGTCTGTTCAAGTGCCCACACACCCCATATGTCCCAACAAGAATCAGCTCAGTGAAATCTCATGATTTCTCACAGACCAGACCAGAGAGTCATGGTGCTGCCTTCTGCCCTTCACGGTCCCTCACAAAACTGCAGGCAGGGTCTCACAGAGAAGGTCACTCGGTTGCAGAACAAGACCCCTGTGAACCTCAGCCTGTTTTCAAACTGCCTCCTTGCTATTCAGTCACATAACCACCACGGGAAGTTGCTTTGTGCCTGACACATACGGCACGTAAACACCTGCTTATATTTAAATATAGAACAGCCTTAATGCAGTAAGACTATTCCCAGATTTGACACTAAGCATGTTCTTTAAAGCTTTACTGGATAGAAGTCAACATTTACTTTTTAAGACATTCAAGGTGATGTTGAACAACGCACTGATTTTTCCATGCCCACCTGATAAAAGTAGTCCATTACAATTTAAATCTGTTTCAGTGAAAAGCCTGGGAAGGAAAATTACTAACAGGAGGCAATTAGACCCAGGCAGCCTTGGAGGGCAACAGAGGAGAACTCTGTGAATGTCCAAGCAGGGAGGAGTAGGAGACAGTTTTCTTCCTCAGGCTTCATGCTGTGAGAGGTAACCATGCAATCTTCAGGCTTTAACTTCTGCTCTCAGACTACAGCTGTACTGACAGCTGTCCACAATTATTTTACCTTTCTGCATCTTTCACAGAATGCTGCCTGCCTCCGTGTCTTCTGAGGCAGCTGGAACTGAGACAGCCCATCAGCCCAGACATTTAATCCTGGGAGCTAGCTTGCCACCTCTTAAATATTTTCCTATGTTGCAATTAAAAATACTGATGATGCAATCTACACGTCCCGTCATTTACTTCAGAAACACTAACTGCATGTTGCAGGAACAATTTCTCACTTGGCAGTGCCCAAACTCATCATATAACACTGCCATAACCCAGAGGCCTGCCAGTTGGCTCTGCACATCCCCTGCTAGGGCCGTGGGACAATGCTGCCTCCAAAAACCTTTCATCAGCTTGGCACCAGCAGACCCCATGTTTGCATATATGCAGCTCCTGCTGATGTTGGGAGGTTGCTAAAAATAAATTGCCCCACTTTGCAAAACTCTGGGATTTGGCTTTCTGCCTAAATGGAGGAAAATATAGACCATTTGAAGTTTGTTACAAAAACCCCACAACCCAACAAACCACAAAACATTCCCTCCAAGGTGGCCTGATCAGAAAGAGAGATCCATTTTGTGCAGATTTACTGCCCTGCACCAGCACTGGCTCATATTGGTGCTACAAATCACAGTGCTTGTCACATCTGAGCACGCAAGCTGGGGAAAGAGCAGGAAAACAGAAACAAAGACACACATCTGGACTGGGCTTCCAATGGCAAAAACTTCTGCTCACCTGCAGCCAGTCTCTTCCACTCTTGCACTGAGTACCAAGGATCCCAAAGGATCTGCAAAGGTTCCCACTAAAATAGAGATTACTAATGCAGCCCATTCCCCCACAACTACGGAGATTTATCACCCAGCAAATCTCAGTCAAAAATCACTTACATCAGGATCCAGCTCTTCCAGTTCATTCTCTAACTTCCTGAGCTCCTCCTCTGTCAGAGCTCCAAGGATCTTGTCTTCATCCAGGTCTCGGTACTTTTCTAGCTCCTTTCTGTAGGACATCTTGGAGGAGTCTCGTGGATCTCACTTTTATGCTGAAACAGAACCTGAAATGAAAACAAGACTGAACACGTGAAACATGACACTGTAGCCTGTCTGGTTGGGGAACACTGAACACCCCAGAGCTGCAGAAGATTTATGCCTAAAGCATGGCTGATTTCTAAGACAGACCAGATTGCTCAGGGCTCCCCACCCGTATCCTACATGCACATAACAGTCCATGGTGATGAGAGTGGCATAACTCCCAGCAGCTCATTGCCCCATCACAGACTTATGGGGCAGCACTTTGGGGAAGAACTTTGTACAGGGCCCTGCCTACAGATGTTTTTTCTGCAAGCAATGGTATATGTTAATGAGGTGTCCTAGGCATTTATTTCCTTGAAGGAACAATAAACCAGAAATCATCAATAAACCCGAAGTCTGCGGTTCTCATGTCCTTACGAGCCCCCAGTAACACCTCCCTGCACTTGGCACTCCAGATAACATTGTCACCAGATGGGAAACCAGATTTGTAGCACCACTGAGTACCTCTGAGCCCTGCAACCCTCCATGAGGCTGCAGTGCACAGAACTTCTGCCTGTGTTTTAAAGCCACAAGGAGATCAGGAAGTATTATTCACACACGTCTAGGAGGCTGCCAGCTAAACCCACCTTCCCTGAGACAACACATCTGAGCAGCTGCCAGCTAAGCAGATGACTTGTGTGTGCTACTGCATGTTCTAAACCAACCCTGCAAGAAGAGAAGTGGGACTAATGTACTGAATGGCCCATGTGGATAATTCCTGCTGACCCAGGGGTGGCCCACATCTCCCAATATAAAATGCCATACACAATCACACACGTGTAAGTGGACCTCTGCAAGCAAAAAGACTGTAGAGGACCTTCTGCAAGGGTCACTGTGTTTAATATGTTCAGGTTGATACAACACACAAAACTGTATCCAACTCTGCTCTTTTGCTGACAGTCTCCTTCTGTTCCATAGTACTGTCTGTATATTTACATTTTCTGGCTCAGTTTTTGTGCAGAAAACTGAACTCTAGATATTATAAAGTGACTTTTCCCAAAGTTTTGCTCTTCCCTTAACGTAATGACATTTACATTAAAATAACAGCAAGGTCTATGCATTTTTTAAGGAGCCAAACATCTTTCAAGGGACAGATTATGCTCTTATGATCATTGCTCTTCATTAGTGGAGAAGTTTCCTTATACAAGTTACAACATAGTTGCTGTTCTAGATAGGAAAATTATCTTTAGCTTGGTCACAAAAGGGCACAGTAACACACACATGCTTGCTCAACGGCAAGCCCTTAAATTTAGAGCTGTCATCTGGTCAGACATTTGGGTTCCCACTGGCGTGATGGCAATTCCTGCATCGCTTGCATTCCTGCCACTCGCCACTTAGGAGGTGAAGTGCCAGGAGATGGTGCCTCCTGGATGAGAGAAACAGCCCCTGAAGCTCCCAGAGCTGGGGGCTGAGAAGGTGAAACCCAGCTTTTCACTGGGCTGGTTTGCTCCATGCAGTGACCATCTGGTCACTGTGGGCACCGGCATCCAGGGCAGCAGGAGGGTAAAGGAGGGACCACACGTGGTGGGGCCCCATGGGTTTGGGTAAAAGAGGCAGTGGGGACTCCTACATGCCTGTGCTTTACCAACACCCTGCAGCAGTCAGTGCAAGGCTCCTTGAGAGATGAGACTGGCATGCAGCAGCTGTGCAACCACACCAGTCAGCCCACGAGCCACATCCAGCAGCTCATCCTCTGCAAGACTGCCCTTCCTGCTGGCATAGAGAAGGGCAGAGCCTTTACTGCAGTTACCCCTGAACGCTGATGAGTGAGATCCTAGAAAAGCAGCCTGGATTCGGATCTGGGGATGTGCTGTGCCACCGCAACCTTAGATTGAAGTGCACGAACCACGACCAGTTTGCACTTCATATGCGATTTTTAGTTTTGACCCTTTTGCTGTGGAAGGAGCTGGAGCCAGGAGTAGGCAGGAAGGCAGAGGATAGCCCACCCCAGGCTGCTAAATTTCCCGTAATGGCTTAAAATACCTACACCTGCCATGCACATGGCACTCTCTGTCTTGGCTACGTGAGGACAACTACTCCCAGAGGCAGCCGCAGTCACTTCCCAGCAATCCAGGCTGGTCTGCAAGCATGGCTTATCTGGGACCAGAGCGCAGCCCCCTCAGGGCTGACCTTGCTGTCTCCCACCAGAAGGACAGAAATGTCAGCACCAAGAGGTGAAAGGCAGGACAGACGTCGGATGTCAGTGCACACAGGCAACACTTCTGGAAAACGCTTCAGGTTTCAAAGCATCTTGCAGAGATATGAAGCCGGGGCTGCATATAGCAAAGGCCCTGAGGGTTGAGGACAGGTGCAGAGCCTGCTGAAACAGAGCTGAAATCTCTGTGGGGAGAATTTTGTTTGCCACCTACCCCAGTCAGAGCTGCTGGGAGGGGACAGTGCCCTCACAGTGTTGCTGATGCAGCCGGATGGTGCTTGCAGCTCGCACAGCTCCCGCAGAGAGCACATCAGGAGCACTGCTTGACTGGAGCACTCGCCCTGCCTGCAGCAGCGGGACATTCTGTGCTGCTCCCCTGCCTGTTGAACGAGCTGTTCAGCATCGTGTCCTCCAGCACAGCCTCCAGGACCAGCATGTTCACTGGCTCTCCCTTATCTCTACCTCCCAGCCCTCTTCTACCCCTATCTTGCTAATGAGTGCTGGGAGAAAAAGCAAAAGAGCCCATCTGCTGTAAATGGCAAGAGGGCTTTGTACTGCCAAAAATAAGAAAGCAGGTAAATTCTGCCTCAGCACAACTATTTTCATTTACACAGCGTGCTGAAACAACCACCGCCACAAACAGCTCTCCCTGGCTCCTGCTGGGGTACAAGCACAGCCTGACACCGGTCCTACCCCCAGCTGAGCTCAAACAAAACAACGAGATCCTCCAGCACATCTGCAGTGTTACATTCAAATTTTAAATCCACGAATTGCTAAACAGTCAGGGAGGGAAGAGTTAACCATAACTCACAACAAATCTCCATCATATCTATTTGCAGTGCTCAAATAAGACGGCGCCTTTGATTTCCCTCTATTTTTCATTAAACTTACCACTTTTCATTCAGTCAGCTAAGGAAGCATCACAAAAGAATACACAAGTAATGTGCAGAAACTGTACAGGACCAACACTATTACAATTTTAAGACCTGAAAACATAAAAATTCATATAGACTACCAAGAGAGCAAGATATTAGGTCTCATTGGTCAAAGAACTTGTCAAACACATGAGAAGGCAGCGCAAACGCTTACACTTGGTAAGTCTGAGAAGCACATAGGTGGGAATCCACGATGATCATTAAAAATGTTAAAGGAGAAAAATTAAATTGGATGGGGAGATAGACATAGGTCATCTACAGGGAAAACCGTTCCTGTCAGGAGTATAGGAAAACGAAACAAAACAAAACAGGCAACATTTATGATTACGAAGGGGATGGAATAGTTTCTTTCTGAAGAGTCCAAATCTGCTGAACAAATATATGGATGCTGAAAACAAGCAAAAATGAAAAGTATCCTGTACGATACTGGACATAATCACTGATCCACCACCAAAAGGCAGAGAATGGGAAATCTGAGTACTCTGGCCCATGATAAGAGCCATGACTGAAAAAAATAAGATCCCTGTCCTAGACGACCCTCAAATCTACTGCAAAACTTCTTCTGTGGGCTGAAATTTGAAAGGAGATCAAGGGGCTTCTTTTCTGGCATAAGGAGGTGGCCAAATGTCACCAACTTAGATACTGAATATTCTTGGAAAAACTGCCAAATTTGAAGGCAGAAGACTATTCAGGATAAAAACTGTTTTTAAGCAGCAGTGGAGGTAGAAATTACCCTCGTGGCTTCAGAACAGTCCCTATTTGACTCACACAGCATTTTGATTTATGAGGGTGGTTTTTTTTATAGCTTAAGTATAAACCTGAGTCAAAGTTTAGAGCTATTATTTTTGTAATTTAAAAATAACAAACCAATGTCAACCAAGCCCTCTGCATTTGCTACAACTTTTTTTTTTCTTTTTTCTTTTCTTTGATTTGTAGCATAACTTTAAAGATAAATGCCAGAGTTGTGGGGTTTTTTTTGGTTTGCTTTTTGGGCTTGTTAGTTTTGGTTGGTTGGTTTTTTGTTTGTTGTTTGTTTAGGAACAATACATAGCTCAAGTGACCATTTCCCTAAACTCAACAGAAATTAGGTACTTTCTGTGCATACACTTACACCTCAGTGAATCACCCAGGGGTAGATCCAAGACTCACACTGTGCAGATGAGAGGAGCAAATCAGCTCCAGCCTGTTCCTAAATGAAAACTGTGTTTTTATGTGGCCTGTCAGTCCTCTGGTAAACCTTAAAGCCATTAGCTAACCCTCAATGAAATCTCATGCAGGACCCAAACCCTAATTTATCATCAAGCTGCACTTGTGTGCAAAGGCTCTGTCAGCCCTGAGCTCTCCTCTGGATGACAGTCAAGGAATGAAAAAGAGCTGGGGCATTTGCAGACAGATCTAAGGGAAAACAGGGGATACCAGAAGCACTTGGAGGAGGGGTAGCTGTGACATGTGGTAGAGCTGGAGCAGCAAAATCCCCAGTAGGGATGAAGGACAAAAAAGTCTCTGCTGACTCTGCTGCTCATAGGACAACTTTCAAACCCTGAGCTTGCATCCCAGCACACTTGGATGTGGGTGTGCAAGAACCTGACTCCATAGCCACCCTGATGTTTGAGTCACTGAGCAACCCAGCATCATCAGTTCCTTGGAGTTTCAAGAACTGAACAACAGATCATGGCCAGATCCAGTAGCAGAGGAGGAAAAGATGAATATCAGCTCCTACTGAGACCATACCTGAAAACACGAATCTATGTGAATTTTGCAAAAACCCATTACGAAATCAGAGCAGAGCAGAGCAGAGGAGGAGCTGGATCCATCCCCAGTGTCAAAACACAGCTGTACACAATCATAGTCTTGACCACTGTGTTCTTGCTATCACCAGTCACCCTGCTCACGAGGGATGTCAGTGTAGTTGGGCTGCTACAGGAATGGTCTCCTCCTAACACACAGCTGGATGCCGCATCCAACTTGATGTCCCCTAGTAGAAAACAGGTCTTCCCAAGTTGCAGGGAGACCAGTACAGGGCCATCAGGATGGGCAGGAGGCTGGAACACATAAGTTGTGAGGAGAAACAGAGGGAACTGGACTTTTTCAGCATCGAGAGAGGAATGCTGCAGAGGGAATCTAATTGCAGTCAGTCAGTCGTGCGCTGCCTAAAGGGAAAGGGTTTCTAAAGACAAAAGCAGACTTTCCTTAGAGGTGCACAGAAGGGGCAACACAAACAGCCTGAGGCAAGGGGAAGCCTCCTTGATGGAGAAGTGGTGCAGCCCTTGGATGGGGTTCAGAGAGGTGGTGGAATCTCCATCCTTGGGTGTACAACGCTCAACTAGTCAAAGCCTGGGGGAAACTGATCTAAATACGGGACTAGGCCTGCTCAGAGGAGAACACTGGACAAGGAACTTCCAGAGTTCCCTTCCCAAACAAAATTTCTCTGACTTGGTCTCAAAAGAATGCACAGGTATGTTCAACTGTCCAGGTTCCTCCTCTGAACGCCAGGAGGTTACACAGGATGGGAACTGGGCTGCAAGCTGACCCCCTACATTTCACAAGAACTTGCTTTCTGCACTCATCAGTTTGAATTCTGATTCTAGTTCAACACAAGAGGGTTTAGCTCCCTTTCCCCTGAAACAGTTAAACCGCTACTAGTTTCAACACGACTGAAATTCTCCTTGCTCCTGCAGCATGACAGTGAGTCACTCAGCCTCCAGGAGACCATCACAGTACCTTGTTTTGCAGCTTTCTCACACTGAGGAGCCCTTGTGCAGCTTGTGGAGCAACCGAGCATCATCTGGAACAGTTCTTAATAAAACAGAGCCTACAAGACAGTTGATGTCCCCAGCCTCTGCTGACCAAGCAATGCCCATCAGGCATATCTTCATCTCTTATTCTTTCCAGGGCAGAGCTGGCAGTGCCAGCACATTCATTCCCTGGATGAGGAGTATGGACAGAGAAAAGACAGTGGATATTCCAGATGGTGAGAAGCTCTGTCCTGTTGGAGTCAGAAAGCAGAGCTCAGCATACACTCTCATTGCTTCAGGCAAGCCAGCCATCAACTAGAAACACTGAGGCCTCAGCTTCCTGGCAAAATCTCATGCCTAAGCAAACCCAACAGAGAGTCTGCTGTCCCTTCAGGAAACCTAAACTTCTCCAAGGAAGGTCTAGATATCCTCCGGTTTGGTAAAAATCTCCCAACTGGCAGCTGTTAACCTAAGACATCCTGAAATTCATATTTGAAAGGAAACATCTGGAAGAAGGCATTTTGGATCTATTAAAGAACACCGTGACTTCTGCCTCTCCCAGTGACATGCTAGCCATGCAGAACACATGACACTGTTTGGAGTCATCCTCACTACCCAGAAACCTGCAGCAACCCTGAAGCTCAATAGGCCATAGACAAGACTTACTGATGATGACACTGCATTCCTGTGGGTATCCTCATGCCAGAGCTGACATTCCCACTCTTGCACATGACAGCTCCACAGCAAACACCTTGTTGTCTGATGTCATGCACGCACCATGGAGGGCTCCCTGTGCTCAACCAAAGTGACCTCTCCCTTTATCCAACAGTGCTGAGAAAAGTCTCATGCTGGTTGCCCTCTCCTGAGTCTTCCTCTCTCAGGTCTTCCTCTGTCAGGATTCAGGTCCTGATACTCAGAAACCGCCTGTATCTCCTCACCCTCCTCTTGTCAACACTCCTGGAGCCTGCAAGCCACACAACTCAGTACTGGCTCTTACCAAGTGGTCTTTCTCACCAGCAAATAGCCTGGATGTTTGGTGACCAGCCCAAGACCTGCCAAAGCCCTGACACAAAGCATCCCAGCTGTATCTCTGCCACTTCACATATTTTTTAAGGCACACACTTGTAAAGCACAGTTATGTGTTCTCCTATTTGGGGTGAGGTTCTCTCATGCACCTGGCATGCACTTAGTTGCTTAATTACTAATCCCAATGAAAAGTGCGTGGGCACACTTAAGTCATTAGTGACACCGAGCGCTCAGTTCCCCTCTGTAACTTGAACCTTTCACTTGGAAACTTTGCAGACAGCACAGTCTACTCTGAAAAGGGATCCTGGATTTCTTTCCTGAGTTCCTGTTAGTCCCCAGATGGACACCCCTGTTCCTCTGGCAGGGGATACGATGGGTGTAATGTGAACACAGGAGCAGAAAGGCTTCTGCCCTGCACTGAGCGGTGCCTTCCATAGACAATGGCCATGTCCTGTGAAACAGCCCTGCCAGACTGCCAGGCACAAAGCACAGCAAGCTGTTAGCATTAACACACCTGTGTCTGCGTGTCCCAATCCCACCCCACTGCTAGCGTGGCTAAAGCAGAGGGGATGGAAAGGAAGTGGTGCAGCCAATAAGCCCTGCATGTGTTGATGCCCAATGAATACTGTAGCAAAATGAGTACTGTTTCAGCAGAAATGAGTGTGTGGTGTACACTGGCTACTGAATCTGAATGAGGCACTTGAGAGAGGTGAGACCACCACATAATCCTCCAAGGCCTGCAGAAATGAAGATACCACCTCCAGCTGGGAAAGCTGCTCAGCTGCACAATGCTTGAATGGGGCAGAGTTCTGGGGAAGCACCACCTCAACTTTGCTTCCATGTTTCTCCCCAGGTTGCAATCAGCAGGGATTTTATGTACACTTAAAAACAACCTCAGCCACAGGGCTGAGCACCCTTCTGGCTCAAGGCCCAATAGCCAAGGAAAGATGCAAAGCAAGTAGAGAGGACCTCCACATAAGGGTGGAGCAGCTGGCCCAGAAGGGATGCAGAGGACAAAGGATTCTGCCCAACAAACCATGCGTGACCATTTCAAAACCAGAAGCAGGTAGATGAGCACATCAGGATGGCACATGAGTTCCCCCCAGAAGCTGTGTCCATCAGAGTGAAGAAATGTTAACTTTGGGATAAGCAGTGCCTTTCAATCAAAGCAGACAAAGTACAGCTACAGAAAGTATGGCTATTTGAAGCTGGACAAAGTGTGGCCATGGAAAATACACCACAAGGACTCAAGGAGCCTTTCCTCCTGCTAGTTTCTACTTTTCCTTTACAAAAGCAGCACAGCTTTCTATTGACCCGTTGTCTGGAAAACAATTTCCTAGAAGACCTCCCAGGACTACAAACGCATTGGCATTAAAAAAATAAAAAAGAACTCTTAGTGCCCTTTGCAACCCGCTCAGCGTGGTGCAGGGCCCTCTCTTCCCTCCCCGCTCCAGCACCCCCTCGATCCCCGCCGGGGACTGCCGCGGACACGCGTGAGCGCTGCCTCTGCCGAGGGACACAGCCACCCTCATCCCGGGGACACCGGCTGCCTGCCGGGGGACACAGTCACTCTCAGATCCCGGAGACACCGGCTGCCTGCCGGGGGACACAGTCACTCTCAGATCCCGGAGACACCGGCTGCCTGCCGAAGGACACAGCCGCCCTCATCCCGGGAACACCGGCTGCCGCAGCGCCCGCCGCCGGCTCCGCGCATCCCGGCTCCGCGCACCCCACTCCGGGCACGGCTGCCGGCAGGCAGGCAAGTGTGCAGGCAGGCAAGTGTGCAGGCGAGCAGAGAGAGGCAGGCGGACATGCACGCATGGAGGGAAGCAGGCGGGGAGGGAGACCCAACACCCGGGCAGAGCCCCCCCCACCCCGTCCGGCGTAATTAGGAAGGCAGCGGCCGCTATTTATATCGAGCCGGTGCCGCCCGGTGCCGGACAAATATTCTGCCCAGATATGGGCCGGGCCGGGCCGGGCCCACCGCGCCGCCGCCAGCTTACCGCACCTGTAAGCCGAGCAGAGCCGAGCCGAGCCGAGCCGAGCCGAGCCCGGGCGGAGCGTCCTTGCCCTCGCCGGCTCCGCCGCTGCCGGGGGCGGGGGTCCAGCCCCGGCCGCGGCCCCGGCCCGGCCGTCACTCAGCGGGGCCGGCCCCGCCGCCCCTCCCGGCCGAGAACAGCTGCGCCCGGCTCAGCCCCCGCCCCGGGTTGGTCCTTACCCTCTGCCCGCACCTGTAGTGGCGAACGCGCCCCGTCCATCCCCAGGGCAGCGTGGGCGCTGCGGAGGCCGGCAGCAAGAGCAGCGTTTGCTTCGAAAGGGTCTTTCCTGCTTTTTAACGATTCAGGTACGCTGGAGCCTGCCTTGTGTCCCATGGCAGCTTCCTTCACAGTGCCGATACAGACACCTCGGCAAACTGCCTTTTTGGGAAACCCCACAAGATGTGCACGCATCTTCATGGGGATCCAGGCCACTGTAAAATACCCTGAGACTGCGGCTGGGAAAACTCCTTCCCGGGAGGAGTGCTGCAGCACTGGGACGGGGAGTGCAGGGGACTCTCAAGGCTCAGCCAGACCAAGTCACAGCCCCTCAGGCCTCTGGCAGGATGACACCACTGCCAGCACTGCAGGGAACCTGTGGGTTCTTTATAAAAGCTACTTCTTTATAAAAGTTCTTTATAAAAGCATGGGCACTTTATAGAAGCTACTTCCTCACAAACAGCTATTGTATCAAAGTACCTACTAATCCCGTCCTACTTTATTCCCTGTCAATTTGCCCCACACCTCCAGTGACAGCCACCTTCCTACCTAGAGCAGCTTCAAGTCTGTCATCAGCCCAGGAGAGCTGCCTTCCAATGTCATGGTGTCCATAGTGTTGATGTTGCTGCCAACTCTCCTTTCCCCTGTCTCACCTTTGACTCACTGTAAAACCCCATGGATTTGTCCTATAATAATTTTTTAACAAATCTAGAAAGTGTCATCCCCAAGCTTCCCTTTATCTCTGCTCTTCAGTCTCCACCAGCAGCCACAAACCAAGAGTGAAGAGGGTCCCAGATTTATCAGAGGAGGGCAGTCCATCAGAATGCTTCTCCACTCCATACTTCCCAAACCTAGCGATGACCTTCATCTGAAAATGCCCGCAGTCTCCATGAGATGGCACTGGCTTTTTTTTGCATGGCTTGTCATACAGCTGACTTGGCTGGCACTGAAGTTCGGGAAAGATCTGCAGTTAGCCCTGGAAATGCTGCTCACAGCTGGGCCAAATGAAGAATACAAATGGATTCAGTGCATGCCTTGCTGAGGTGAGCAAGATTACGGCCCAGATCACTGGCATCATCCCAGCTATTGGCAAGAGAGAAAAGGGCACTTAGAACTACCCACTTCCCACAGATGCCTGAGTTTGTTCAGGCTGAAGAAGCCTGACTGGTACCAGACCAGACAAACCTGGACACCAGTGTCTATGCCACCCACTTACCAACTCCCTTCCTCAAGGGTGTGCCAGTTGAGAGCAGCTCAGGAAGGGATCCACTGGTACCATCAAGCTTCCCTACTAAGGCCATGTTGGTTTTGCACTCTGAGATACATAACCACTTATTTTTTATCCCATCTGGCTGCTCTCAGATCTAGCTTTGTGTGCACCAGCAGCTCATCCAAGGTGAGTGCTGCAGTTCCTTCAGAACGCACTTGGCCCGTCTCCATCAGGCAAGACAGTAACGCAGCTTCTCAGCACATTTGTTTTCAGTGTACCAGTGACACCTTTTCACCTGTCTGCCGTGACACACTGCAAGTAAAACCCACCATTTCACAAGACACTGTGTTTCACTAACTCTAACGACACGTTGGCTCTCGAGGAAGTGGCTCAGCATGCCTGAACCATGTCTGCTCAGGTCACAACCTCCCGCCCTAGCCAACCTCTAACTTCACAGGGCAGGGCAATTCTCCTGTTTAAGAGTTCCAGTGTAATCTGAAAATATCAGCAAAGAACAAAAGAACACGAAAGGAAGATCGCAAGCTTTATGAAGGTCTAAAGTGGTGGTTTTTTCATTGCATGGCTCTCCTTCACTTTTCTTGTCCAGTACAAGCAGCACATGAGAATGTAGGCTCTTTCCAATGCACAACTGTGAGGACAAAGGATGAGTGTGGTGAAAACACAGAGATAAAAGATCCTTGCAACAAAATTCTTCCCAAATGGGGAACGAGGAGTCTGGGAGTGGAAACCTTGGAGATAAGAATTTATTTTGGGATGGCAAGGAGGGTTCTCACATTTCTCTGATGAAACAAGAACTCCTCAAAATGGCCAAGTGTGAACACACTGTGAGATGAGAAGAGGTAAACTATAACTTTGTAAAGTTTACAAAATAGAGTGGAGAAAGAATAAACAGAAAAGAGGTGGTTTGAAAGTGCTTATTGTTCACAGCCTTGGGAAAGTAAGAGATCTGCTTTGTTTTAGTTGTTACAGTGTCATCTGTTTCTCCAGGTAATGAATGCTCAATTTCCACTTCACAAAATTCACCATGATCCACAAAACACGTCTAACAAAGCTGCATTCTCTTTTTTTGTTTGGAAAGTTATCCTGGGTGAGGTCCCAAGAATTACACGTTCCATATCCACATTCCAAGGGAGGATCAGCTGGGCTTCTGCAGACACATCCTACATGGTTTTGGCATTTATAATGAAACTGGAGTTCCAGTGAATTTCTAGGCTTTGCCCCTCTATTTAGAAAGATGGTCTGACACCCAATCTAAACTTACCTTTCTTCAATTCAAGCTTTTACATGCCTTATTTTATTTATATATAAAACAGTTAACAGTGACAACTTCGAAAATGTTCCCCTCCTTATCCTTCTTCTATCCAGACTAATTACAAACCCTACTATTTAAATCAGACTAATTAGACTTCCATTGTTCTTGCTTTCATCTGGTTTCTCTGTGAATAATCCATATCTTTCCTATAGGACAATGCCCTGCTTGCAGGGTTCCAGTGGAGGCCTTTCTAACAGCTGTCAGAAGGGAAAGATCATGTGAAACTAACTCCACCACCTGCTGGATTCAGACACAAGCTATGGAAGCTTCCCTGATGAAGTGCCATGCATTCTTGAAAGCAGAGAAACCATTCACAGGAACAATTCACAACCGCCCTGGAACACAGACTGTTGAAAAAGTGCAGCTAAAAACCATGCAGCATTCATTCTGTGTGAACAACTTACACAAAGCAGCCTAATGCCTCCTGGGATACACAGACTATCTACCCATTCTGCTATTTCATGGTTCAAAAACTTCAGCAAACCCAAAGCATTCAGTGCTGTGAACAGTCAACACCTTCTGCACGTTTTTCAAAGCAGAGCACAAAATGTACTCCGAGAGCACTGGCAGGTCAGTCAGCAGTTGTATCAGAGAATCTTACGGGTTCGTCAGTGGGTGATCGAGTAACATTAAAAGCAGGTGTAAAATCACAGTTCTGCAAATGAAATCACAGTGTAAGGAGACAGCAGTAATAGCAGAGTACCTGTAGTGTAATGGACTAGTACTGGAGACACCGAAGAGAGGGTTTGTCCTGCAGAGTGGAATGGGGAGACACCTCCATGCAGCCTCTCTGGATATGGTGTATGAACTGAACGCAGCAACGTGTTAACTTTGGTTTGGGTGTATGTTCCATGCAGGCACAAAACAATTCACTACATGGAGAGTGGTGCCCCTGGGTTTGCTCACCAGTTACACTGCACTCTGTTTTACCCCTGTGAAGTCCACTGTGAGGTCTCACTGTTTTACCCCTGTGAGGTCTCACTGAGCTGTGAGACCGCTGGAATGTTGTACTTACTTCTGATCTGGGCTTTTTAGCCACTGATGACCAAGGACGGGATGAGGCATGTTCCAGAAGGGGCAGACAAGCTCAAAAACCACCTGGAGTGCAAATTAACTTCTGTCAAAGAGCAGATTCCCAGGCCTGAAAGGGGGCAAACACAGCATGGCTATTTCTCATGAAACCACACTTCAAAATAGCTCCAGTAAAACGCCCTGTGCCAATACAATGGCTTCTGACTTACAATGGTGACAGACTGCATGACTGAGAATGAGGGTGACGTGCTCCCAGATACACAGGTAAACTCTCACTCCCTTCAGGAGCTCAGGGAAGTGCTTGTCTCATCCTAGTGTCCTCTGTCATTCAAATTTTCAGGCTTAGAATACATCGCATGCAGAGGGAAACTTCCGCATGGCAGTTTATCCTGCAGTGGTTCTTCACCACAGGGATCCCCTCACCTGCATTCTTCACCTACTCTGCTGTGGCAGCAGAAGATGACGTTGATTAATATGCAAAAATATTAGTATCTTCATTGTTAATTTACCTCTCTCAACAACTCAAGATCTGTCTCAAACCTCAGCACACTCAAATACGGAGAGGACCATGCTAATGAGCAATTTGCATTAGATTAGCAGTTTGTTAGTTTACCACTGCCCACTCCATTCATCAGGGCTCTGCTATACCCTGCATATAGTCCAGGCAGAAGACACTCACCAGTCTCCCAAGAGGACTCCTTGCTGCTTAGCTCAGACCTTCTCTAGAACTACACCAGCGTCAGACTAAGAGGTTGCAAAAGTCTTACATGCTAAAAATGTTTACTCAGAGTATTTGTATGCATTTCCTCTCTCCCAGCCTAATGTTACATGCACCTCACCATTCAGCCTTGGTTTCCTTTCTGTCCAGTCTCCTGTACTCCTGCAAACAGCATCACGGGCAGAATTTCTTGGTTCAGCTTGTGCACCACTAGAAATATTATAGAACCAAGCACAGCAGAAAAAAATCCCCTTCTGGCATTCTCCACATAAAGCTTTAATATGGTGCTTAACAATCTGAAGGAACTACGTCAAGCAAACTCAAATCTAGGCAGCAGACTACAAAAAATAACCATGTCTACACCTCCTCTAAATACTTCCAAGGCAAAAAAATGAAGTAGGTTCTCAAGTAGTCCAAAAATATCATGTTCAGAGGACTTTAGGCACCCATGCACATGCTCGTAAGACTCTGCTTGCTCCTGTCTCCAGGGAGCAGTCCTTGAAAGTTTCTCAGAAGCGA